TTTGGCACTATCCATAATGGTGAATTACTTGGACGTATTATTCCATCCTTTAATAATTTTGAGACTTCATTATTAATTTGTTCTTTAAATTGTTCTGGGTATCTATAATTTCTCGTATAGATCGGATTTTCATTACTTGTTATAATTTTATGTTTTATTAAATTAGTAGCATTAAGATTTTCATTATCTTTTTTTATTATTTCACCGTTTTCGGCTATTATTTGTATTAATTTATTTCTAGAGTTGTTATTTAGATGCTCATGTCTAATAACATTTTTATTTTCTAATTTATTATCCATTAGATGACGTTCATTTGTTTTCTTATAATTGGAATGATCGAATTTAAATACGGTATCACCGATCACTATGTGATTGTCTAAGATACCTAAATCTTTCATCGTTTCATAACCAAGAAAGAAGTCATATTTGTCATTTACTGGATATACTAAAAGTTCTATTTTAGTATCAATACCTAAAGATTTTTTCATATTAAAATCTACTTTATATTGGCCATTGCCTATTCCAGTTGGAGTAGAAATCAAGAATGGTTGTTCTATTACTTTTAAATTATATTGTTCAATTATTGTAGGATTAACATAGTTTTTAGATGCTCCCCTATTTAAAAGCCAAATTTTATGAGTAAAATCTTTTATACTTGGTAACCTATCATTTAAGTGATAAATGGGTTTGGCATTACTACTACTATTAATATTGGAACTAGAATTAATTTTAAAATTAGAATTATTATTAATATTAGTGTTCGGTTGTGTCATCTCATTTACGTGTCGTTCTCGTATGTTTGTTCTATTGGCGGTGGATCGTTGTTGAGTAAGCCGTTGGATAAAAAATCATTGAATCGAGAAGTTAAATTATGGATTTCATCTTTAAGAGATTGGTTTTCTTGTTTTAGGTGTGAAATATCATCGTTTTCAATGTGGTGAGCTCTGTCGGATACTGTTCTCATGGAAACTGTCTCGGGTTTTACTAGTTTTTCAAAATTGTGTTGTTGAAGAAATTGTGCTGAGTTAGGTTTATTAAAGAATTTATGTTGTTCTTGTTGATTCCATTGTGTGTTATGTGGTTTTTGATAATTATTTTGATGTTTATAATTATTTTGTGGATGATGAAAGTTTTGTCTAGGATGGTAATGTTGTTGATGTTGAAAGTTTTGTTTATTATGTTGTGAGTTATGATATTCTTGTCAACATTTTTGTTGGAATTTATTTTGAACTGGTTTTTGATTGGTGAAATTAGTCTGTTGTGTTTTCTTAATGCTGTATAATTGATAAACTACAATAGAAAATGTGTTTTTTAACAATTTTTTTATGTCTTCTAAATTTGTATATATTATATGTGTAAATTGTCTAGTTAAAACTGGATGTAAATTAAGTATAGCGGTTGTTGCAATTGTTTTATCATAAATTTTAAGATTTCCTGAGTCATTTTCTGTATATAACTTTGTGACTACGTCTCTACATTTTTCAATTAATTTATTTAGGTAATCTATTGAATGTTCATTATGTGCAAATTTAATATCTAAAAATTCTTTTAATATTAGTTCGGTACCTCGCGAGTCGTAGAATTGTTTCTTTAAGTAATCAATCAGATGTTTGACATAATCGAATTCTTTATAGTAACAAAGATCTTCTGGTTCTCCCGATAATTTAGATTAGGCTTGTATAAGAATAGATTTTTGATTTGTAATTCTGTAACCATTATTTATTTGACAAAATTCTTCTGTTAAATAGTCTAAGTTTGAAATATATTTAATTAATTTTTGTGGTTGTCCATCATAAACTGGTACAATCATAAAGTCGCTAGCATTAATTCTAATATTAGGATTCATTGTAATAATATTTGATAATTCAGAAATGTTTCTTAACTTATTTAATCTATCACTAAGTGACATATACAAATTATAAAATTACAAAATAAATTTATATTAATTAAATCTAACCTTGTTGCTTGTTTTCTTCTTCTAAGAGGTTCCTTCTAAGTTTATTTAGGCTGAGTTGATTATCAATGTTTTCTAACTTGATTAAGATCTTAAGAGATCAGCAATATTCTTCCTTATTCAAGAGTTTGATGAACAAGTTCCACAGTGACAACTTGAAATTATAAAGAAGAAATTCAGGAACAGTTACTGAAAAGCAAGTGTTACTTATATACCTTAGTCTTCTGTATCAAGAAATTCCTTGATGAATTCTTGATTGAAGTTCTAAGTCTGAAATCTTCTAAGAATAAGCCCTCAAGTCCCTGTGTTCGGGCGCCAATTAAATAATCTTCAACGCTAAATGACTTTTTAAAAAGAAACTTTATTGAAAAACGACAGTAAATATAATATAACTGGTCTAATTTCTATCTAAAATAATAACTAGTCTACTTCCTAAGTGAATTATGAATATTGAATATTGAATATTGAATATTGTCTCACGCTAAGAGGAGATCGTATTTATAAGGATAAGGAGAGGAAATGAGTCAGTGCTGACATTGCACTTGCGTGTACCTTTAAGTATATATATATATATATAAAATTCACATTTATATATATAAATGTGAATTTGTTTGTTTCGTCGAGTATTTTGCCATAAAATGACAGACAAAATTTCTTAACATGATAATTTATGTCCTAACCTAAAATAAGACATTTTTGCATTATTTTTCCACAAATTCAATTACAAATATTTGAAAACAGGGAACTGTGACAACAATTTTCAGCTATATTATTCAGATATTTCGCCAATAAATATCTAATTATCGATTCTGTCCATTTTCTTAATATTTATTTACAAATATAACAATCTGACACACGGAAAATAATTTTAGCGAGATATGAATACATTCACACTATATATACAGAAAACATAAAATAAACAAAAGCAAAATACAATCAAAAACTATATATAATAAAAGATAAAATAACTTAAAGGTAAATAAATTAAAAACACAGTCATACCTATATACAATCAGGCAGGAAACCCAAAGCCAGGTTTGTCCCTCCAAGTAGAGAGGGAAAAGTAGGGCTACAAGAGTATCCTGCGCTACTCCCTCAACTCCATCACTGGTGCTAAAGCCAGTGGAGATTGGGCCACATACACTCATGGTTTGAGTGCAGAATCTGGCCATTTCCAGAACTCCAACATACATACTATAAAAGGTCTCTGTACCACTGCCACTTCAACCTACGTGGAGGATTGTAGGGATTAGTGGAGCTAAGTAGAGATTGTGCAAGGGGTTTTAATGATTTGTAAGGCTCTGATGGAATTTGGGGGAAAAAATCAAGGATAAGGACAAATGGGATATTCAGGTCATGATGTAGGCTTTTGTTGGTTACATAGAACAGAGGAATTCGAACAGAAAGGATTGGCATCCAGCGTTTGATGTTAGAAAATTTTGTTGTCCCCCAAAGTTGAAGTCGGTACGTCCAAAAAGGTTTCAGGATTGTCTTGTAGATCAGTAATTTGTTATCAATTGAAGGTTGAGATTTTCTAGTCAGTAGTTAGTATAGTTGCAAATATCATCTGTTAAGTTCTTGTCCTTTAATAAGTCTAGTATGTGGGTTCCGCTTAACCGTCGGTCTAAGAGAAAGCTAAGATACCGGACTGTATCTGAAAAAGGAAGCTGGATGGAATTAAAGTGAACTGGTGGACAGGATCTGCGCCGGAGCTTGAAGTTAATGTGTTTGAATTTGGATTTATTTACTTCGATGCATCATTTATTACACCAGACCTCAATCAGGGAGAGGTGTCTTTGTAGATTTAAGAATGCTATTTCTAGATCTGAGTTGGATGATATGATGACGGTGTCATCAGGAAGGTATCGGGGCGGATAGAGATATCAGTGATAAAGAGAATATAAACAACGTGGCCAAAACGCTTCACTTGAGGAACACCAGCTTCAACTGGATAGGTCTTGAAATATTCTGTACTACAGCGTGTTCTAAAGGTGCGATTAGAGTGGCGTGCCATAACCGGTCGAAAGCTTGAGTTATGTCCAGAAATGCACGCCCGAACAATATTGCTTGCTTTCCAAAGCTGCGGAAAAATGATTGGCCACTTGAAGTCCTTGTTCGACTGTGGAGTATTGTAAACGAAACCCGAACTGATGGAAAGGAAGATTTTGGGATTCTATGCAGAGTTGGAGGATTCACTTCAGGAGAATCTTTTCAAGGCTTTTTGAGAAAATTGGTTTTAAAAATATATATAAGGTGTGAAACCATATGAAATGTTACTGTTGTACCATTATAACCTTCTAGTATAAAATAATTATTTATATATATATATATATACTGATTAACTGTACAATATCACAGGAAGCGAAAAGTTTGCGTTCTAAAAGTGAATTAGAAAGTGAGTTGAAAATTATATTTATGAAATTCCATAAATTATATATATACATAATTATTTTATTTGATCTGTAATTATTTATAATAGAAGATTATAGTGGTACAACAGTAATATTTCATATGGGCTCACAACAGAAAAAAATATATATTAACAAGATAAAATAAAAATTTATAGTTTAATATTTTGCTATTAATGCATGCACCTGGTCGACTAAATGGCTTGAGTTCAAATTTATAAAACATAAACAAACAAAATTTGAGCGATAAACTGCACTTTCCGAGTAAGTTAAAGCCGATGTCTAAAAAAGCTTAAGCTCTCCCCTGTGTGTGGCGGCTTGAAATAAAATAGTTTTCCCACTATTTTAGTCTTATTATAACCAATACCCCGGAGCATCTCCTTCCCCAATAATATACAACGGTCAACCACCAAGTATCCAACACTATAGACAAAATATGAATAGGAAAAAAAATCACTGTTGAGGCAAAATCATTGATTTGTCACTGCGATTTTCTTGGATCTGTCCACGTGTCAGTCCTATGACGTTAGTATCTGTCATCCCTCATTATCCTATTAACAGTGACTTAATAATATTATTGGGTCACTGTAACTATTATTGAGTCACTGTAACTATTATTGAGTCACTGTAACTATTCTATGCTTTCGCCTACATCTGTTTTGATGTTATGAACTACACGTTACAGAACGACTTGCCTTGATCAATTTAAATTCAGTGATTATTGTGTCAAGATTATTCATTCCTAAGTTGAATTATTAGTTGAACAGTTAGTTACTTCATTGATTAAATGAAACTTGGCTTTTACCATACCATTGAATGGACCTTAATGGTCAGTATAAACATTAGAATCTGATGTGAAAAGAAAAGTGTTTTTGTAATTTATGTAAGTTTAATAATTAAACAAAATGCCTCAATTAAAATTGACACCAGAAGAAATTGCTCGGCAGTTTCAGCTGCCAGAAAGGAAATCCAAAATTGCTACTTTGTTAAAGAAAGATGGGCAAATGTATTGTATATGCGGATCCTCAGATTCTTCAAGTTTTATGATAGGGTGTGATCTTTGTGATCAATGGTATCATGGAGATTGTATTGGAATAACACAAAAAGATTCAAAAAATATAAAACGTTACTATTGTGAAAGATGTCAAGAGGAGGATCCAACATTGAAGACAGTTTATAAAACACCAAAGGTTTCAGATATTGATATGAAACGAGATATACAAATTAAAGGAAAAACTCGGAAGGATGAAACCGTAGATCCGGTTTATGTACCCCCAAAGAAGGCTAAAATTAGTTCTGTCAAAACTCCTTGTGGGACTTGTATAAACTGTCGCAAAACATCAAATTGTGGAAGCTGTCATATTTGTAAGGAAAGGAAAAAAAGTGGCTCTAGGAGAGTTAAAGATAAATGTATCAATAGGGTTTGTTTAAAGCTAAAGCCTTCTGCTAAAAGACATGATTATGAAGATTCAAGCTCTGATGGAGAACAAAATATAGCAGTAGGGGGTTCTGTTAAACCAGGAATGCAGTGCTATGGCCCAGGATGTGTTGAAACAGCTCTTCCTAATAGTAAATACTGCAGTGACAAATGTGGTATAAAACTTGCTACCAATAGGGTTTTTCAAGTTTTGCCTCAAAGGTTGCAAGAATGGTCTATGTCTTCCTGTTATGCAGAAAATGTTAATAAAAAAGATCTTGAAACGGTTCGAAGAAAACAAATGGAAGCACGTGCTGCTTTGCATGATCTTGATAAGCGTTATCAGCAACTTGAAATGATAATAGCTAAAGGAAAAGAGTTAGAACCTTGTTTTAAAGTAGACACTGAACAGAATAAAAAGACTGGTAATAAAAGAATAAATTTTCAAGGCAAGAAAGAGAATGAAAAAGAAGAGGAAGCCAGTGTTTATTGTGTAACTTGTGGACATGAAATTCATACCAGTTCAGCTATAAAACACATGGAAAAGTGCTTTAGCAAGTATGAAAGTCAAGCATCATTTGGATCCATGTACAAAACGAGAATAGAAGGTAATAATATGTTTTGCGATTTTTATAATCCTCTTAGTAAAACCTATTGCAAACGTTTAAGAGTTTTATGTCCTGAACATACAAAGGACCCCATAATTGGAAGTAATGAGGCTTGTGGATGTCCTATAGTTAAAGATGTTTTTGAAGTTACTAATGAGCTATGTACATACCCTAAGAAATTCTGTTTCAAACATTATTGTTGGGAAAAATTGAGACGTGCTGAAATTGACATGGAAAGAGTTCGACAGTGGCTTAAAGTTGATGAATTGTTTGAACAAGAAAGACTTATTCGTCAGAAAATGGTGCAAAGAGCTGGTGTACTTGCTTTAATGCTGCATTCCACCTATGACCATGAAGCAATGGAAAAAATGACTTCAGCCCAAGAAGAAGAAAGATTGGCACAATTAGAAAAAACTTTGCGGGAAAATTATGACAAGGAACAATTCGAAAACATAAAATGTACCAAGGAAAACAAGAAGTTTTTTAAATCTTTAAAAAAGGCAATGACTACATCATAAAATATGTTGGTACATTTTTTTCTTACCTGTAATATACTCTTAATATGTTTTAAGGGATATCTGGTAATTACATTTCTTTTTGAATATATGTAATTAGTTTGTATGTGAATTAGTTATCTAATTATAAATGTATCCATTGGACTAAATTTAAATTATAAAATTGTATTAATTGCAACCATTCATGAATATTCTACTTTAAAAAAATGATAAAATTATATAATTACATTTGCGCAGTTAAATTTCAATCATATCATACATTTATATTCACTTATATAAGATTTTTTTGGCTCTTCTGAATGCCATGGTTTTTACAGTAAATAAATAAAGATGAAATTGTTTTCATTAATATTTTTATTTTAAATGTGACCCTGGAGAAACTGTAGATAAAGACAACACGAAAAGTTAATTTTTATTTTTAATCAGTTCCAGAATAACTGTGATATAAGCCCAATTACTGCTTGGGTATTGTACAATTGTATTGTATTGCCGTTGTTATCTTATATTTATTTTAAATAGTTAAAAAAATATTCTGGAATCCATGAAGAATCTTATGTTTAACATCTATTAAGGATTTTTTTTTTGCCGTTGATTTTATACAACTTCTAAATGGTTGGTATATACCAAGGTCTATAAAACTACCAAATTCTCTCATTCAGAAAAGCGTAGTAGAGGGACTTGAATCGTGACATATTGGTTAGATCGCCAGACCTACCTATAAATCTGTGGATATCATTTATTCGAATATTATTGTACTTTTTATTTTTTGTCCTCTTACTTAATTTATTGAAAAAAATACTCTTGTGTCTTGTTGATGGATTGAAAAAAATTTCCAGTATGTAAATAAATAAATAAGATTAGCTACATAGAATAAAATGTTATAAAAAGCCGCCTAGGCTATACCAGAACGGAAAAAAGAGAAATTTATATTAAGATTATTTTAAAATTCTTTATTATAAAGTAACAGTGAATAATAGGAAAATATATTATTTAAACAGAAAAACCGAATATTTATATTTATTTAGAGAAAAAAAAATACAGCACAATTCATGTTGTAATTTTGTTAATAGATTCCAGAGTATTTGTTTTAATAATATTAGAATACTAGTTGGTCTGTGCGAATGATTCCCAGAAAATTTTGTTTAATGAAGAAATAGCAAAACAATATGGAAATAAGCAGTTACTATTTATTATGAAAGGAAGGAATTAATATTTTTTCCTTGGTCAATCACAATATTCCATTAAACATAATAGACAAAAATATTTGTACAAATTCTTTTGCTAAGACCTATTTTTAAACGCTGACTGAAAATATAATAAAAGTAATAAAGACAAAATAATGCCCAGATCATGGGATTTTCTAAATTTAAACAAAATATAAAATGTAAGAACAACCAAATGTCTTTAAGAAATAATAAAGCTAATATATCTGCCAGGAAAAAAGTGTAGCAGTCTATTCCATTCCTAAATGCAATATCTTTGAACAGGAAGACATTATTAAGTATAACAAAAATAATAGACTGTATCTTTGTTAATAATATTCCGATTTTTACAATTTTCTTTTTTGTTTTGTAGATAATTTAGTAATCTATCTAATTATCATGGGTACAATCAAGAAAAAAATGCATACTTTTTGAGTTATTCGCAAATAGAGCGACTATTTTTCGCATGTGAAGGAGAATAATATCTTCAAAATGAGTGGTCAATCATTGGTTTTGATGAAGAATTGACGAAGTTATGGCGTACTGACCAAAAAACACCTTTTAGAAATAATATATAGGGTTGTAATAACGAGTATATCTTTTAATATTTTTAAATAACTGTTACAGAGAATTTGTTTCTTGTTGATAATGTTTCTTGTATTTTTCATAAAGATAATGATCATAATTATTGGAAGTTGGATAACTTTCTATTAAATACAGCAAAAAAAAAAATTGAAAAACAATGTCTAATTTTTTTTTTTAAGGAAATGTGGAAATTTCTAAACACTAGGAGAATATTACAGCAGTCAAAACAAATAAATGAGAAAGTAGGATTACTCATGACATCTTTACAAAAATGCGTAGAAAGAAGAGATTTCTTCAATTTTCCAGAAAAACAGTTAGTATGTGCAGTTAAAAAATTGAATTTGATATTAATTTTATAAAAATTAAGTTAAAATGAATAAACTTAATTTTTTAACAGCACATTCTGACAATATTATTAGACAACAGTATTATCTCTCATATTTATTTGAAATAGTTAAGAAAAAAATATGGTATTTTGCATTTGTGAAAAAATATTTTACTTATTAATATCAATTTATTAAATTACATTATTATTACTTGAAAATAAACAAAATAACAAATGATCCTCTCTCCCACATTTTAAATTTATTAATATTAATAAATTAATAAGTTATTTTTTGTTAAAGTATTGCCTTTTATTGTAGTACTGAATGTACACTTCATGACACAGGGACATATCATACCTCCCCAATACTATACTTTAATCTAGAAATTCCTGGGGGGTAGGAAAAAAAAAAAAGAAAAAAAAATGTTAAAGTATTGACTTTATTGTTGAACAAAGATTTAAATAGACAAAGGACACTTACAAGAAGGTTGATCAAAGCCGCTAGAAAATCTCCCAAATGGGATATCTACAGAAACACCCTTACAGAATATCATAAATCTGTAAGGAGAGCCAAAGACGGTCTTGGAGGAAATTTTGGCAAGAAATAAACAACATTCCTACGGTTTTTTGGATTAAGAAAATAATTTCTAAACAGAAAGATCAAGGAATACTGGGCACACCCAGAGTCAATGGTAAATGGGCACAGTCAATGGTAAATTCACCACCAATGAGAATGAATCCCTGAGAGAGCTTGCTTGGATTATTGCACATTCCTGGTGTCAACATAATGGAGAAGGCTTATATTGATACAGCACTTCTTAATTATACAGCTAATAGAGAAGTGCGGACTAAAGCTAGAAATATCATTATGGTAAATAGACTGGATTGGACAGTTAATTTATTGTCTCGATAGAAATCTGCAGGTTTGGATGATATCCTACCACTATTGATTAAAAAAGGACTCTCTATAAATAAAACCTTCTAGAGCTTTTAAGGAACAGCTTAGCATTTGGTTATCTTCCATCCAGTTGGAGAGAATTTGAACTGCTCTTTATACCAAAAACTTGGGAATGCATGGCAATCCCAAGTCATTCAGACCGATATGCATGACATCTTTCATAATGAAGATTTTTGACAGATATATAAGAGATCAATCATTGAATTCAAATCCTTTACACTCAAATCAATTTACTTACCAACCTGGTAAATCATGCGAAGCGGCGTTACACTGTCTGGTCTCAAGGATCCAAAAATCCATGAGTCAGAAGGAAATATTTGCACCTTTAAAGACTTCGAAGGCGCCTTCGATAGGACTCTTTATAATATCGTAATGTATGAGAGCCATGTGGATTTATACAGGCCTACTATGGCACCCATGTTATTTGCGGTAGACACTATAGACAGGCCTGCCCTGTCTGGCGCGTCCCGTCCACGTGCTAACTTTGTTTACAGCTATCTCCATTTCCACTGGCGTTTTCGAGCCTGTCGGCAACACCTACCATCAGGCTCTCATTGTCAGTGTAATACCTCCTCTTGGTCTCATAAACTGAGTCCAGCACTGGGACTCAGTTCATGACCTGTGAATCCAGAATGAGTGCCGCTTCCTCTTTCATTTCCACTATATCCGCCTTCCTCACATGTGGTTCGAATTGAACTTTCCAGCCCTTAGTAGTCAACGCACCATCTATCAACTTGTATATCGCATTGTAGCGCAAAATGCGACCACCATGGGTGCGATGACCTTGCTGTACGACATGTGCAGTTGTTTACCGTACTTGACAGCCGACCTGGCACAGTGTCGGCATGTTAGTCCTCCTCGCTCCCCTGCTTGTGCTAACCCGTTTCGACAGTGATCCGGACTGAACAGGGATATACTGGGCAAAGTCCCGGCCAGGAATCCCTGTGGTCCCTGAGGTTAGCCACTGGGTTGAAGCTCTGACTCCCTGATGTCCACTCCATCCGTAGACGAGTGTAGCTTCTTATCCCATTATGATTCGCAGGCTGAGCACTATCTACTGGGATTCCTCGCTTCTTCAGTGAGCGAGCTGCCCTCGTCATTCGTCTCTGCACACGGCAATTATTCCAGGCCGCACTTACAAGCGGACTTGAGCTATTCTTCATAGCGGAAATTCGGTTGTAGAGAACCATTGGCACCGCTGTCAAAAAACTCGTGATACCAAGGCCTCCACATTTACCATATGCATAGAAATAACCAAGTGAGACGTTTTTGGTCATTCTCAACCAGTCCCTTCTCTGCAGCCTCTCTCACCTGCTTATCGAGCTGCTGCAGGCGTCCAACTGTAACTCGTCCAAGCACCAACCCCAAAAATTGCCAGCCATTGTTGGGACTTAAGATATATTCTTCAACACCGTCGCTGCATCCAACCCCACGGTCTTAGCGCCTGTGGTGGAAAATTCCACCTCCAGGTATCTAAAATTGGAGACCCGATTTGACTACGGTATGGGCTTTTGTTGGACCTTGAACTGAGCACTCTCGGTCAAGACCTTGATCTTATTGTGTCCGTCGGGGATCAGAGATAAAGCATGGATGGCACTTTGATGGATTGAATGAGAGCCCGGAGGCGGTCTTCTCTATTATCATGAGGGTCAGGTTCATGCCTGCGACAGAGGAGGTGATGAGAACCACTAGCGGATCCAGGATTTAATTTTGGGGGAAGCTTTTTTTTTTCATATATATAACGATAATTACTTTGGAAAAACAGAAAGATAATAACTACCTATATGAAATGGTGTTTAAAAGTGATTCTTGAAGTCCTGTAACTCTGGCTAACGGAGTCGTCTCTTTGCAGGTACTGTGGTCAGCAGGATGAAACAGCGTATCACATCACTTGTTGGTGCGACAGGTTTGCTGAGTTAATATTCCGATTATTCGGTAATGGTAAGGCGTCTGACCCCAAGATAAACGAGCTTTTCAATCCAACAAGTCTACATATGGGTATATGTAGAGACTTCTGGAATAATGCTCTGAATAAGAGCGACATTAATATGGGCCTACAGTAGGCCTTCATGTCCGCAGTGCTTTTTACAACCAAATAAACAAAAAGTCAGATACTGGTGCATTTATCCTACTGTTTGGTTTGTTGTGAACGTTCATCAGAGATCTCAATGCTAAGTTTAAGAACTACATACTTGTTTTTGATCGATCGTTTATGATCTAATGTGTGTTTACTACCGCCAGTTGCTTGTGTTGAAGTTGAATTTGTATGTCATTTTTTTAGTATGAATTATGGAGGTAACTTCAATTGGAAATGAAGAAATACAATTAGCTGGTAACCTGAAATATGTTCAGTTTAAGTCTGACTTAAAGAACTTAATAGAAAGGGAAATTCTAGCAGATGGGTAAACATTTTGTATTTACTTTTATATTCATTTTTAACTGTAGCATTTAAAATATGATTTGGCCGATTAAATAATGTTTTGATTAATTTCTTGTTCTAGTTGTCTTGGTCCATTTTTTTTAACTAATAAATTTAATTAACTAATGGAATGTTATTTTTTCTCCATCCCCAAAGTTTGTCTTTGTTATTAGCAACGCCCGGATTTTTATACAGTATATGTGTGTATTATACTGAATATGTCATATAATATGCAGTAAAAATAAACCATGAAAAATATAGTTAATGATATCTATATATGCTAAACTTGTTAATTACTTGATTACTAATCTGCCAGTAATGTACTTAAAAATAATAGTGTGCCTACAAAAAGGTTTTGAAATAAAAATTATGGAGGAGTTAAAAATTACAATAACTTCAATTTTTTTCAAATATTTAAACTAAAGATTGAAAATAACTAAACATATATGGCCAATAAGGTTATAATATACTTATATACATGATAATGGTCGAAATCGTAACATGAACCACATTAAAAAAATAAAATATCAAAATAATTCCAAGTATATACAAAGCAAAAAACAATAACTATGTAAACTCATCAAAATTTTGTATGTTAATGGACAAAAATCTAATATGAATCGTTGTTGAAACAATAAAATAATTAACTACTTGTAGAATAAATATTGCTGAATAGATAAAACATTTGAATTAGTCTGCTTTACAGACATATTCTGAATTAAAATTAATCATTAGATGCATTTCTAAATTTGCTTCTGTGAAACCTGCTCTTTTGTCATTTAAATTAGAAAATGACCTTTATAAATCAACAAGTGTGATAGGGACAAATTATAGCTACTTGAAATTATGAGTTAGGCCAATGTCGCTGGGAACAATTGAATCTTTGCCATTTAAAATTTTATTAATACCGACTAGAATTGTGATATCTGAAACTTTTATGAATCCATTTTGTCACTTAAAGTTCCATCTACTTGGCCTTCATCAGTTGTAAAACTGTTTCCTGTCTGTTGTAAGGTTCAATCCAAGATTTCAACTTTGATGAAAATGATTAACATACTTTTGGCATTTTAAATAACAGAAATAGGATCTCTTGCAAAGAATCTGGGCAACAAACTGAAATAGAAACTTGATATGATGTGATGTTCACATGGGAAAAGAAGGGGAAATGGATTTCTGGGAATTGGTGGAACCCATAAAGAGAATTATTGAATGGTATAGTTGAAAATATGTAATTTAATACAAGTATACAAAAGTAGTAGATTTGGTTGTTTAGTTCATTGAAAATAAACCTATTATAATCTTGAATTGCATCTTCAATGTTACATTTGTTTATATAAATAAATAAATATTCATTTAACCACGTATTTTATTTATTTCATTAAATTAATCATAATACGGAATTATATACATTAATCCTCAACTAAAGCCACTTTCCATAAGTTGAAATTTTGTTGGACACTATACTTTTAGTGCTTAGTTTGATTTTGTCGTGAAAAACAAGGCATAAGTCCATATTTAACTATAAATCATATTTCAAAGAAGTCATTCTGGAAAATGATTTTATGCGCTTACTGTAGTATTTAATTGATACAAGGACTATAATATTATCAATTATTTTATGCATAATTTGTGTCTGCTTGTAACACTATGTATAAGTGAAGTCATAGTTTTCTATTTATTGTAATTGTTATTTATAATTTTGAGTTATAATATTCGACTCGACAGTGAATGCTGAGGATGGACATTTTTTTTTGCATATAAAACATTTATTAAATTGGTATTACAGTAAATGGACTACAAATTATTCGGAATGTGATATTTCCTGAACTATTCAAGGAACTGAAAGCCTAGAAATCGTGATAAAAAAGATTTATTTTAGATAAAACAAGAACTAAAAAATACATAATGATGTAGAGATGGTTGACCGTTGATATGATATGTGAAGGAGTTAGTCGGGGGTGCGGTCAAATAAATAAAAAAAAATTAAAATATATAAATAATTTTAATTTTTGCCGACGTTTCGACCCAATTTGCAGGTCGTCTTCAGGGCGTAGGATATGGCACTGCAGGAGGCAGTTGAAACACTGGCCTGTGGGTTTGTATCTTGATGTTGACCCCGTGGTAATGCATTCATAATGATGTAGAGATGGTTGACCGTTGATATGATATGAGAAGGAGTTAGTCGAGGGTGCGGTCAAATAAATAAAAAAATTAAAATATATAAATAATTTTAATTTTTGCCGACGTTTCGACCCACTTTGCAGGTCGTCTTCAGGGTGTAGGATATGGCACTGCGGGAGGCAGTTGAAACACTGGCCTGTGGGTTTGTATCTTGATGTTGACCCCGTGGTAATGCATTCATAATGATGTAGAGATGGTTGACCGTTGATATGATATGAGAAGGAGTTAGTCGAGGGTGCGGTCAAATAAATAAAAAAATTAAAATATATAAATAATTTTAATTTTTGCCGACGTTTCGACCCACTTTGCAGGTCGTCTTCAGGGCCTTGGATATGGCACTGCGGGAGGCAGTTGAAACATTGGCCAGTGTTTCAACTGCCTCCCGCAGTACCATATCCTACGCCCTGAAGACGACCTGCAAAGTGGGTCGAAACGTCGGCAAAAATTAAAATTATTTATATATTTTAATTTTTTAATTTATTTGACCGCACCCTCGACTAACTCCTTCTCATAAAAAATACACATACTTTTTGGGCTAAAAAAGATATTCTTGTAATAAACCTTAATTTTCAATTAACCTGTTTTCAACTTTTTTTTTTTGAAAGCCATCTGAAAATTGCTTCTTTTTTTTCATATAAACTAACTTTTTTTAGGTGGCAATCCTCAGCTGAAGCATTTGATAAAATCTTCCCCAAGAAAAGGTACTTGCCTAGTTTCAAGAAGGCATTTCATGGTGCTATTTTAGCTGGTTTTGAAGAAAGTTTAGATGAAATGTTGGGAGATGTATTGCCTAAACAGTGGGATATTTTATATCAAGAAAAATATGACAATCATCATGATGGGTAATTTTAATCATATTTTTTTTTCCTTAAATTTTATTGTTTTACTTTGTTAGAACTCAGATATGGTGAGTAGTTGGCAATTTATTCATAAGTCCTAACGTAGATACTTTTTTTTTTTCGAGGTATATAAGTAAGATTTGATAACAGTATTTATTCTCCCAACAATTTTTCTTTATTTTATTATGACATTTCGGATTCACTTTCTTATCCCATCTTCAGACAGTACTTCATCCTAATATCTTTTTTTTTTATAAGATTTGTCATAATTATTTTATTTTTTATATTGTCATAATTCATTCCTTAAATTATATTGTGGACTCATCTAGGAAGAGTCTAGTCAGATATTAGAGTATCTTTAGCCCTATTTTCTGAAAGACTTTCTGTCTGTCTTCTTTTCTATCTCTTGCCTGTTCAGGAAACCTTCAAAGATTCTGCTATTTGCTTCCTCCATTTCAGTGTAACATGTCCACCTCCTAATCAGTGAAACCATGTTTTTGTTTTATGTATACAACTTGGTATCTGGAGTTTTCTCGGATATCAACAGTGAAGTACCAGTCTCGATGTTCTCTGACAAAGTACAATATTGAAAAGTTAAAGAGCGGTGACACAAGCCCTAGATTTTCACAGCAATTGGACATCAGATTAAGGAGCTCTGTTTCAGAACCACACCTTGAGTCACAATAGAACTCATGCCGCACAGCACTTATGGAAGTAGCGAACAAGGTTGTAGGGGAAAAGACCAAGCAAAGATATAACCAGTGGTTTGATGACGAATGTGCTGCTGTGACCAAGAGAAAAAACATCGCATACAATAAAATGATACAAAGATAGCACACACGAAGCTACTGCCAATCAGATCATCTCAGACAAACTATTATTATTTACACTATTTATACTAAAATTAAACACTGATTTTAAAATAAAGTCAAGTATGAATTGGCAATCTAACCTTTTTTCTATATACTCTGTTTCTTCTTTTGTCTCACTAAATTCATTTGTCTTCTAGTTCTGCCAAACACAACTTCCAAAATGGTTACACTTTCTTCTACTCAACTCAAGCCCTTGGGAGATCCGCTCTCTTGTAATTCCAAACAACTTCCTAGATGATAATACTAATACTGGGTTTTACCCACTGGAGCCAGGTCCCTTCTCCTATCCTCCCTTCACTCCAGCCAAACATCAACTGCCTGCCAAAGCAAATCCTTTGTTCCATTCCCTCTTTGGGATTTTCCTTCTTAGGAAAACTATAGAGCAGTTATTTTCTTTTTCCTGAACTAGTAGAACTAGGTTAGCTTACCTTTTAACTGTTGAACATTAATTTATTAAACCTTTTTACCCACTTCCAATAAAGGTGTACTTTACAGTATGCTGATGCCATTGGGCGTGGTTTATGCTAGTTTCAATTTTTTTTTTTTATTCAGTTCTGAACTCTGTAGCAACTATAAATTTAATTTAGAGGTAACCAATATTCGATAAATAGCATTGTTTCAAAAACTCGATTTTACCCTCTCCCTCTCAGTTGGTATTGTATGGATAATTATTACTCTGTGGCAATAAAGAGAAATTAAATTTCTTGTATGGTACTATATTAAAATATGAAATGCCTGTAGCTCACTTTATTTTATAATAGAGAACAGCAGCAAGTTTCAACTTTTACCTACCTCCTCTCGGTTTATGAAAATTAAAAATTAAAATAAATAAAAAAGACAGACTTTTTTTTACTCCAATCCTTCAACTTTCAATCATGTATACTAAATATATTTAGTTATAAACTATACATGTTTAACATTTGACTCCTGACATATTTGTCAGGAAAAACTTTCATTAAATATGGAAAAGTTAGGGCATAATCAGGGAATGTTACTCTAACAGTCTGGTAGCCACCCTGGATCTGTTTATGATGGTTAGTAATGGTGAATGATCTAACTCAAGTATAATATGAGAGGTTTGTTCCATTTCTTTATTTGTTACTCCGAACAAATTTATGAAAAGCTGTCTTAGCGTGGTTGCTTACAGATTGAATAACATTTATGGTTTCTGCACACAGCTCACTACATAAGATGCCATTGTATCTAAGATGATGTAATAGAAATTTAGTAAAAACTGGTTGTGTAGTTTTCACAGTTAGCATTTAGAAATGAAAACAGGCTGTCCTTTTATGTAATATTATAATTATGAATTTATTAAAGCTTGTTGACATTTTGACAATGATTAGTCTTAATTATTAATTTATTGGATTATTTAATGAAAGTAATCATTTGAATCTTTTAATTATTTTCATCTATCATATATTTTTATTCAGTTCCTAGCCTGTTTAACATAATTACAAATTTAAATTGTTTCTTATTTATTCCACGAAATAAATATGTAAACTTATATTTTACTTAAGATTATAATTCTAACATTATTATTAGGCCACCTTTAAATTAAAGGGTTTTAATTTAAATTAGTCAATGCCAATGTTATTTTTTATTTTTATTTTTTAGGAAGGATACTTCTCGGCTGACTTATAGTAAAATGGCATTAAATGATTTGAAATTAAAACAAAAAGCTGCTGTAGAATCTGTTATAGAATTAAAACTGAAAAAAATTGAAGAAATTAAACAAAGTATATATATTAAGAAATTAGAAGTAATAAAGAAATCATCTGAATTGCAAGCCATTAAACAAAAATGGAAAAAAAACTGTGGAATATTAGAAGACTTGAAAAAAATGAGTTTCTAAGTTACATTACCAATACATGAGAACCTATTTATTTATATATATTTATAAGGTCCTAATACTTTAAATTATATAACTAACAATTTTTATTAAACATGACCAGATATACTTATATTATGTTAATTTAGTAATAATTATTTGTTATTTAAAATACACTAATAAAATTGGACACAATGGAGATGGTTTGTGTAAACAAAAGTTGTAATGCAAAAGATCATTTTGATCTCTTTATTTTCATTGAATAGAAGTACACTTTATCAGTAAGTAAATACTGCCCCCGCTCTTCCACATTGCTCCTACTCCACCACTCTTACCGTTTACTACCTAAACTAACTAACTTAATTAATTAATAACTTACAGCCCTAGTTGGACTTTAAGGCTTACTTAAAATTGATAGCCATTCCTTTCTATCTTTACCTTCCTTCTCCATTCTCTTATTCCTATCTATCTCAAATCACCCTTTACATCATCCAACCACCTTAGCCTAGGTCTTTCTGCCTTTTTTTCGCCTGATCTGCTATCCATAATCTTTTTTAGTAGCCTTTCATCTGGCATCCTTTGAATATACAGCCATCGAAACCTTCCTTCTTTGATTAATTCCACAATATTAGGTTCACCAAAGAACTATTTGAGCTCTCATAATTGTGAGTTGATGGTTGATTGTAGTGAATTGAAGAGAAAGATGGTTGGGGTGATCAGTAAAAATAAATTATTGTATTTGTTTTTACATTCTCCGACGTTTCGCCCCAAAGTTCAGGCCTTCATCAGGGCTGAGAAAAGAACCAGATAACAATAGGTATGAGAGACTCTAAACATTGAATAATAAAGAATTATAATTTAAAAAAGGTGAAAGGTATAGACTAAAAATTTAGGTAGAAAAACTTAACATAAAATGAAGTAGATAGAGTGAACATTAAAGTAAAACAAAGTCAGCAGAATTATAACAGTAACAGAAAACAAAAAATAAATAATAATAACGGTATCAAAGCACAAACCAATGAAATATGCATAATAAAAAATAAGGTAAATAAGAAGTAAAATTTGTTGAGACAAAGTCTCTTGTTAACTTGCCATTTGCTATGGCTAATGTTTGGTGTCTTAAAAACCATGATTATTTACAAATAGTGTAACAGTAACCGTTCATTCCAAACTGAAGGCCATGTGACAGAATTAGGCTGGTAGGCCCTGTAACATTCAGGGCCTACAGACATGTTCATTATTAGGACCTAGCAACACTACTGAATTTAAAATCATGGTACTTGGAAAAGGAAAGAAAATTAGACAAAATGTTTAGAATTCTTCGTTCTATCAAGTGCTTATGTATATATATATATATATATATATTTGTGGTAATTGACCTATGCAGTAATTGTTAAGATCTCATTTACGCAGAAAAATTAATGACTTGATAAAGTATTGTTTCGCAAAAAATAAGTCTGCCAAGTAACGAAAATATAGCTTCATCGTCCTTTTTATTGGCTGAACAATATCTATATTTCAAAGTCTATAATTTTTCGTAGGAAAATAAAATCTCTGGAAGAAGCCATTTTCGGAAATACAATAATTCCTTAACATTTGCGGGTTTGATATCCACAAATTTTGTTTATCAGCGAATACTAAAAAGCAAAAGAATTCTACATTTGCAAATCGCGTATTTGACGAATTGTGATAAAAAAAAAAAAAAAAATTAAATCGCTACTGTTAGCTCAAACATTGAGTGTTTTATAGGAGAGCATAAAAACTAATTATTACTATATGATTTATTAGTGTAATTTCCTATTTTATTTTACTCTGCTATTTTCCATGGAACAAGGCTACCTATATCAGTTGCGTACTACGAAATGTCACATTTAGCACCAATAGAATGAAAATGGAAAATTGTTATACACGACATTTTACACTAACAGTAGCGGTGTATAGTTATAGGTATGTTTTTACCAGAAAAATGGATAGAACAAAAAATTCATTGGAAAAATTTAATTGTTTGTTTGTTCGAAGCTAACAGACATTTTCCCTCAGTCAGAACAAAACTAATTTAAACTGAAATATAAAAATATGATTGAAGTTCATACAACTTCGACGTTTAAAGAGGAAATTCAGACCACGACGAGCTAGTTGAATTTTAATAGAAAGAAACATTACAAATAATATATTTTTATTCACTAAATGAAGTAAAAAATGATTAAAATTTACTGGAAATTAAAGTGAAGGCAGTAAGTGCCATGCCAGTAACCTTTGGAATCGACCAAACAATGCAGTGTAAATTAAATTTTTGAATAAAACTTAAATATATTTTATTAATCTAACCCCTACTTCATGTGATGAATGTCTTCCACATTTCAAAACCATTATATTATTAGCAGTTATTTATATTAATTTTAATTATCAAATGGAATTAAATGAAATTGGTACTAGACAATTTCTGAACTATTCTACAAATTTGCTCCAAGTTTGGGTCGAATTGAACGAGCCGTTTTCGAACTATAGGCGTATCAAATAAAACGTGTACTCATCTGAAAGCGGAAGACTTTTTTTTTTTAAAGTAGTGGATAGAATTTGATAAAATTGAAACTAAATTAATTATTTGTTAACCAATCCCTGATTTCCTTCCAAATTTGAACCAAATCGAACTAGTAGTTTCAGAGATATACATGTATCAAGTAAAACGCGTTTGCGCATATATATGATAAAGTAGATGAGGTAATTCAATAAAATCTATATAAAATCATTATTTTACCAAAACCTCCATTTTTTCAACTTTGAGCCAAATCGAACAGCCATTTCTGAAATATTGGCATATCTATTTAAACACATTTACGCGTGAGCAAGCGGCAAAACGACGAAATTTGATAAAAATTGATATGGGACAATCTAAGCACCAGTCTGCATAATCTCTGAAAATTTCATGAAAATTGGATGAACGGTAGTAGGTGATATGCCCGCTACTTCGATTTGACTACAGAAAGACACCGAATCAAATTTGATCCTGGATGTCAGAAACGTAAAACGCGAGATAGATTCATTCATCTATCTATAAATTTGGCGTTACATTGTTTCAAGTTCATAGTTATGTTGATTGGGCAACACTGAAGATCAAGCATATAGCATGTAATACTTTTATTGTTGGCCATCAGTGGTCTAAATACGCTCCACAATGATTACAAATCTGATTGAAGCTTAATATAAGAGAGACAGAACATGTTTTTTTTTAATATGTTGAGCCAAAATATATATATATACAATTTTTTGACTGTCCAGAAGCCGGGCTCGAAAATTATTAAAAATTTAAAAAAGTCTAGATTTAAAAGTAAATTTCGTTCTAACTAGATTATTAAAAAGAAACATTTCTGTCTCTCATATTAAGCTTCAATCAGATTTTTAATCTGAGAAGGAGTTAGACGGAAGGTGCGTTCAAATAAATACTAAATTTCAAAAAATAGTGTTTTAATTGGTGTATTTTTAAATTAAAAATACTATTTTTTAAAATTTAGTATTTATTTGACCGCAGCCACCGACCAACTGCTCATATTATATCACGGTCAACCATCTCTACATCATTACAGATTTTTAATCATTATGGAGCGTATTTAGGCCACTGACGGCCAACAATAAAAGTATTACATGCTATATGCTTAATCTTCAATGTTGCCCAATCAAAATAACTACGAACTTGACACAATGTAACGCCAAATTTATAGATAGACGAATGAGTCTATTTTCTAGAAGCTACAGTGGTTTGACTGACCTTGAGCCGTATAATTATGATAACAGAAAATAAACGATGGGTCGTCGTGCTTTAGGTTTCTATTTTCCCAAGTATTGAAAATTAATATATTTCACAGCTCAAGATATATTCGGCTTCATCCTGAAAAATAGGAAAACTGATTAATCAGATAATTTTTTTAGGAATGACCCTTCAAGTCACCTTGGTAGAGGGAGATGTTAGAATAAGTGGGGGAAGAGTCACAGAGTATATAGTTGGAACAGAAATTGTTATCTAATTTCTCTTATCTTGGGTGAGTTTAGTTATTTAAGCTACTGATAGTGGTCATTCTTATATTCATTTCTTTTCCAAATCAATGTTGATTCTATACTTATAATCCACAGATCAAACTTCTATCTTTGATATTTTAGATTAAGTTATAATATCAGACTTTTAATTAACAACATTTTAGACAATTTTGCCCTTTTCCAAGATATAAATCTTATTTTAATGGCATTGTTAAATATTTTGAATAACAATTACTGTTTTATCCCTTTAATGCTATCATTAATTCTCTCTAGTTTGAGAATCATTATTAATCCATGGTTTATAATTTGCTCTTATATTCCCTCTGGAAATGTTGATTCCAACTGTTGAAATCAACATTCAACATTATTAAAAAATGAATAACTACTTGAAAATGGACGAAATTGTCTGAAACTTTTTTGATAATGAGTCAAGATTAAACAATATATACAAAATCTGAAAAGGATGTATTTTAATAACTGACTGCAAAAAAATAATTACTAACAGAAGATGATTATATTTTTCAAACAATTTAAATTATTATATAATCAATTATCTTAATATTTCATTCACATTCCAAAATTAAGTACTGTTAAAAAGTATATTAAGTTTAAAAATGGATTATGATGATCTTTATATTTATCAATTATGGTATTTAAAATTATTTGTTGAATAGTATACTGTCAAAATTTCTAAAATTTATTCTTAATTAATTATTATAATGCTGATTTTGAATCAGAAATACTTTTAAAAAATATATTTCTAGTATTATTTTTGATTTCCTTGCTTTTTCTATGCCATTCTCTAAATTAATTTATGTAATTGATGTAGATATTCTCCTGTGAGAAATTTTCTTGAATTATTTTCTCAATTTCACTCCATCAATTATGTTTAATATTCGGTAAATTTTTTGGAATAAAATTGTTGTAGTTTACTATTACTTTTTCAAAAATAGAGTACATATATAAAACAGAGTTGACAGATATATAAATATGTATTTGTTATATATTTTGTTACTTCCCGTAGGTGGGAATTTTTTTAAATTTTTTTTTTTTTATTGGTATGTCGGAGATCAGAAAAATTCAATAAATAATCCTAACTTGAATTTCAAAAATATTTTAGTCTCAGAGACCTTTTAGCTTACTCCTTCTCCACATTTTTAAATTAGTTATTGGTATTTTTATCGTTTCTGTATTTTGAATAATTTTTATTATGTCCATGGTGGTTTCAATGGTATATTTTTTTATCTTAGCCCAAATTTGTGATTAGCCTTGATGTTTTTGATTGAAAGTAGGTAGTTTTGCAGGCTGGTTTCTTAGTTGTCTGCTGAAATTTTCATACATAGCTTCAGATGGCTGCTAATAAATAATTATATATATATATATATATATATATTTTTATTTTTTAACTTTATTTTGTGCATAAAAGAATATAATATCCTCACTTTTTTTTAAGAATTAAGCCTTGTGCCCACTTCAGAGTAATTTGTTCTTCAAATCTTGGGAGTGAGTCACTTATTTCTGGCTGACACTCTGAGCAGGATCCGTTAACAAAACTCTCAAGCCTAAAAAAAAAAAAGGTTGATACACAACTGATTAAATAGAATAATAATTATATGCTACAGTTGGACTCAAACCCTGGTCCAGAAGATAGTAGTACATTGTCTAATAGCTAACAAATATAAAAATGAATAAATAAAAAATATTAGACTGTTTATGGTAATAAAACAATTATGAAAACTTTCGAACATGGTATTTATGTAAGATATTGTTTATAAACAGCTATGAGATGCCTATCCTCTCCAATGTTGATGGCTCATGTTCCCTTTTCCAAGAAATTTTATTGTTTTTCACTTCTTAAAATAAATGCAAAGGAAAGCAGAATTATATAGAGTTGATATTGTTTATTTATATTGAAGTATAAATTTTGATGGTGCAACATTTGCCATGCAACCCCTTTCTGGGTATCCCTGGTTCAGAAAAAATTATTTTATTTTCATATAGTAATTCTAAGACATTTATAAAATAATTGTGTCTCTAGTGAATACATACAAAAAATATATACCGTTAATTAGAACAGTTTTAGAAAAATAATATGATGAATTATTGCTTTCTGATGTTATCATTCACCTTCCAGGAATGTGATATTATTAGTTTTATACTTGAGATGATAAAAGATCAAAAAAAATAAACATGCTTTATCTTTTTAATGATGATAAGCATTCAATTTTTTGATCATTTTGCATGAGTCCTTTGTAAACTTCTTTGTTTTTTATTAAATTTCTAGAATATTAATTCCTTTTTACAAGGTCACACCCTTCTGTTTAATTTGTAATTATGTTTATTTGTTTTATTGCTAATGTAAGATTTGTGTTTGAATATTTGTTCAGTCACACGCCCCTGCTGATTTGCCTGTTAGTTTAAGATAGCAACTAAAACAGTTAATTGATTTTGTGCTTATTCAGTTGTTATCTGTAAATTGTAGTTGATCCTTTTTTTTTATTTTCATTTGTTATTTTATAATATTTTAAATTTTATTTATTAGTTTTAAGGCACCTATGAATTTTATCATCATTTTATGCAACATGCCTTTATCATGTGGTTGGTATAAAATTTAAAACCTCGCCAATTAATCCTACCAAGTTTGTAGGAGTTGATTTTTCGCATTCATTCAATTATTTTGATCAATGAAATATCTCCATGTATTGCTTTATATTTTCCACTGGCTGTTTTTTGGAATAGCGTATCATAAGATATGTTTAGTTAAAAAAAAATAATTTGAGTCTTTTTAAGATAAAAGTCAATTTATTATTTGGAAACATATTTCTGGGCTGGTATATTTTATATTTTTGTGTTTTTTTATTTTTTATTACTACTTAAAAGAATAATGATCTAAAACTCTTGAACAGTTTAATTACATTAAATAATTGCTTGAAAATAAATCACTTTCTAATTATTATTAAAAATGTTTTTTAATTATTTTTCAGAAGGATGAGCCCAAAAGTAGAAAAACTTCCTATCCCATCTGTAGTTTTAGGAGAAGGCCCTCATTGGGATATCGCTACACAGTCACTTTACCTTATTGATATTTCTGGTTCACAACTTATAAGATATGACCCTAAAGCCAACAAAGCATTCATTGTGAAGCTAGGTAAGTACACAATCCCGTTAATTACATTTGTATGAAGTTTTGGATACTTAAGGTTATGCTTTTATTTTTTCTAGATGTTCCTTTAGCTTCATTTATCATTCCGGTAGAAGGATCTAAAGGACAATATGTCGTCGGTTCTGGCATCAAACTCTATTTAATAAAATGGGATGGAACTTCAGACAAAGCTGAATCAGTGGAACTTCTCCATCAGCTCACCAATGACTCCGAAGCTAATAGGATCAATGATGGAAAGTGTGATAACACAGGGCGTCTGTGGTTTGGTATGGACTTTATTTTAGAAATTTCTTATTTGATATTTTTAAAACATAATTAAGGACTTAGTTTATATATATTGCTACTGTTAGTGCAAAAGGATGTATGTAACAATTTTCTATGTAAATTCTATTTGTAATAAAGGTGACATTTTGTCTGCAACTGCAATATATAGTCTGCTACTATGGAAAATAGTATAGGAAAATAAAGTATGAAGTTATACTAATAAATCATAAAGAAATAATCAGTTTTTATGCTCTTTTATAAAAAAAACTCAATTTATGCATACGACATTTTGTACTGACAGTAGCAATATATAGATATTTTTTCTAAGGCTTGTGTAATATAATTTAAAAAAAACATAGCATATTTTATTTTATCTATTTATACACATTTAGAGGTCATATATTTAGATGGTACCTACATAGGATAAAATCCGTAGTTTTAATCTCCCTTTGCAGGTTATTTAAGAATATTAAGCTTCTGGAAAGGCCTAGAACTTATTCTATACCTTTTTTACACGGGCTTTATTATACTTCACTTATTCAACTTTATAACGTTTTTTCTATTTAATAAAATGAGAGAAAGGTTCACTTTAGAAGTGTAAAGCACATCTTCGCATCTTTCACCATTTATCATGTATAAATAGTCTAAAAAGGCTCAGATGCTAAGGCCCCCAACAGGTGTAACCCGAATTGGACTCATCATTATTTTGTAAAAAATATATATTTATTTATCAAGAAATCGCAAGATATTTTTATGCATTCAACTTTCTCATCTTATTCGGTATGTATCGCTGTTAGTTTAAAACTGGGGTCTCCCTACTATGGCCTACGTAAGGCCATTCTTACCTACTTTCTATTCTAAAAAAAACATATTTGAGCATCAAACTTAAAAGATAAATACAGAATGGCCACACAGCAACAACAAAAAACAAAAACAAATTTTGTATAAAAAAACGTTATAAAATTAAATAAGTGAAATATAATAAAGCTCGTGTAAAAAAATGGTGTATAATAAGTTATCAAATGCATCAGTCGTGCCTCTTTGAACAACAAGTTCTATGGTATTCCTAAAAAACTCTCCAATATCGAATGGGAAATCGTTTTGCCAAACTCAAAACTGGCTCCTCCTTCCTCACTATGGAATAAGACAGACAGGTTTCTGATAGTTAGACTAGAACTGCTGAATGAAAAGTGTAGAAAAGTTTGTTAAAGATACAAAAGATAGAAAACGTTTTTTACAGAGGGCCATATTAAACTTGGATGAAGGAATTTATAAGCCACAGTTCAGATGTTTCATACTGGATACCTGAAGTTGTCACCACTGTCAGTCCCAATATTTTAAAACTAGTTGTACAGTATTAAAACGTATTTGAAGAAAGCAGGTGCTACCAATATTCTTATGCTATCCTGAATGAATTTTCAATGGATTAAGGAAAATTTTTGCTTCCAAGAATTCAAAAAATGTCTACAAAGTATACCATGGAACAGCACAGAGAGCTATTAATGTCATGTAAACATTTTTTCTGCTGGTAATTCAATATTTAAGCTTTTCCTCAAAAATTGTAATACTGATCCCTAAAAATTGGTATTTGCCCTGCGGCGTTAAGGATGAAGGGCTTTCTGATGTCCTCATACAAGAATTAAATGAATATATAGCTAAATATTAAAAAAAATTTTCAGCTTTCATTCATTCTGTTTCCTACAGTTAGCTTTTTACTACTAGTTTTTCAATTTTTAAGATACATTCTCTAAATACAAACCATTTGTGTGCACTATTAAATAAAAATAAGGAACCCCATTTGGATCTACACCTCACAGATATATGGGACAGCCAAAAAGACCAACTAAGGCTCTCTAGTACTCAGCAACATTACTAAAGACCAACAGTAAACGACCACATATGAACACACTACAAAAGATTTCACAATAACTGGCACGGACATACTAACTCACTAATTTAAGGCTTGGCCACCCCAACATGCCCGGTTGTTACCGGCATTTATTATTAACTACAAATATTAAAATCAAGTCAACATAGGACGCCACTGGGCATTCCTTTTCGTTACATCTACCAAAGACTTACACCAAATTATACTTCTTGACATCACAATCGCTGGTTGTCAGTACTTCTGACTAGTGAGATTGGAAAAATAAAGTTAAAAAAAAAATTCATTCAGTACATGTTTTAAATTTAAATTTAAATGGATTCAAATGTAATCAATCTGTTCTTAATCATTACTAGAGACAGCAAAAGATTTCTGTCATGAAATGTAAGTTCACAACAATTTCAAACTATGGAGTTCTAACATTAGTGTTAGATATTTTTCTCTTAAAGTTTATTTATTTCGATAAACATTTCTATGTACTCTACTAAGAAGTAATATATATATTTTTTTTCTTTAAATGCCCTACCTCACCATTTCTGGCATTTGGAGGGAGAGGAGGGGGGTGTTCTAGATGTGCAACCAAATTTATTCTAACTAGATTTACATGGTAAAGATTCATTCATGAAATAAATTTTTATCGATCTTGGCAGAATTTGAACCAGTGTCCCTAAATTTGACAATGTTAAAAGAGGCAACGCTCTAAGATGCTCAGACATCAAGACCTCATGGAAGAACAGACTTATCCTACACTTAAGAAACCTATTCTAGCTAGAGTGAGGAGGTATTAATGCTGTGGGTCCACCACAAATTAATATTCTGTCCATCCTGTTCAGATTTGAACTGGTGACGCTTGACTTGAAGTTGCTTTAACAATCTCACGACTAGTTGTATGGCCTCCACATAGCAAATTAATAGTGGGGCTAAAATCTATTTATCTTGGTACCTGATCAATTATATATATATATATATATATATATATATATATATATATATATATAAAGGTCGAATAAAAAAACAAAAAAATTGCAATATTACATATATATATATGTGATATTGCAATTTTTTTGTTTTTTTATTTTGACGTTTATATATTATAACTTAAGAATTATAGTCGGATAATAGGTCATGAAATACACTGAGATGACTTGAAACAACTTCTGTTTATTCCATTTATTCAAAAACATTTCGATCTCTGTTTTTTAACATAAATAATGGGATCCTGTTCAATTTTTTAATTGAGCATCGATACTCCAAGCCGGACAGCATGCTGACAGATCCAACAGTACCGCCAAAGCACATCAAGCTACTGAGTCTTAGAGAGGACTCAGCATGCTGCCCGGCTTGGAGTATCGATGCTCAATTAAAAAATTGAACAGGATCCCATTATTTATGTTAAAATAACAGAGATCGAAATGTTCTTGAATAAATGAAATAAACAGAAGTTGTTTTAAGTCATCTAAGTGTATTTCATGACCTATTATGCTTTGTACGATTCATCTTCGGGATCCCAAGGGACGCCTCTGTTTCCCATTTTTATGCGGAGTTAAAGTGGCTTTATCCTTCCTACCATCGTAAATACTTCCTGCCATCCTTCCTCTTTTAAGTCATCCAATCCCACCGTCCCTCATTCATCTCCGAGCTCCTTCATTTCAAATCCTCTATTCGTTCCCGCAATACTTGTTCCTGGTCTTCTGATTTATATATAAGGGCCCACCAAACCGCTGCTTTCGATAAATCGTTCATTATCCAATCCTCATCCCTATGGAACTCCATCCCTTCCCACATCTGTCAATCCAATACCCTTCCTACCTTTAAATCCATCCCGCCAGTTTAATCATTTCTTATTCATCCAGTCTCCATAAAATTGTAATTAGTGTAAATATGTACATAAGTTCATTCTTCATTATTTTTACTCCAATTTTTTTTATTATTAACTGATCAAAATTAGAAAGTAACATATATATATTTTACTGAGACTATTCAATTACTCTGTATTTTTATTTTTGTATCTCTTAGGCTCCTTAGCCCACATTTCTATCTTGCTGTATTATTCTAAAGGGACTCGTCCGAGAATAAATAAAACCTATTATTATTGTTATTATTATTATCCGACTATAATTCATATCTCAAGTTATATATATATATATATATATATATATATATATATATATATATATATTGTATTTATAAATTATTGCAAGTTAAGATTTACTCCCTAATTTCTTTTATAGTATATTTTTTCTTTTAAAGGAACTATGAGTAAAGAAGATATTTTTAATACAAAGAATGGTAAATTATATAGTTATTCAAAAAAAGAAGGCTGCCGAGAATTCGTTTCTGGTGTTGGAATTAGTAATGGTCTTGCTTGGGAAGGAAATATAATGTATTATATTGATTCATTGGAACAATCAGTTGATTGTTTCGATTATAGCAGCAATGGGAATATTGGTGAGTGAGAGTTTTAACATAACACTTTCTTTAGTTTAAGACTCTAATTAAATTAAATTAATTTATGTTAAGATACAATGCCAAGTAAACTAATAACTTTGTGTGATGCTTTTGCATACCTAATATTATTATTATTATTTGTTTTCAAATCAAAAACTATTGCAAACTTATAAGTGAAAATTAATGCTTTGAAAAGTAAGTATTAAGTTTATTGCATCTGGTTTATTCTCAAATTATTTTGAAATTTTGAACAATTTGAGTCGATCTGTCAACTCAATCTTATTGATAACAAATTATAAAAGGCTTTTTTAATGCCTAAGAAAAATTGGAATTGGTGTTTAATATTACCAAAAATTTGAGGAATTATGATAAAAAAAAAGCCTTGTCCCTAGCAAAAATTTTTAAAAATAAAAATAAGTAATTTATAAATTAACGGAAAACAATAATAGTAATCAAACTACTTTTGTACATTCACTTTTATATGTAAATACAAAAAAAAAAAACAGTGCAGCACCATTTGTTTACTTTTTGAGTTATAGGCCAATAAAAATATTAAGCCATCATAAATTATAATGTAGGATCTGATTATTAATCTTCCAAATTCAAGGTCAATCAACATTCTTCAGCTGGGATACCGTTCTTGAAAAATTGAACAGACACAGAACATGTACCTGTGATATTGACACACAGAAATCTTCATTTTGGTTATGGTGTTGACAAAACTACCTTGAAATACCCTTTTTTTTTCAATAAAGTATTTTTTAAGATCTTAAATAGCAGAAAGATAGTAAATTCATAGTTGAAATCTATTTAAGAAGCAAAGTTTACTTTACGAGAAATGCCAAAAGTTTTAACCAGAAGTAATATGCGTTATTGTACACTTAGTACAGAAAATTGTCGACTAATATTCATGACAATCGCGGTTCTAACATATTTAGTTTTTTAACATTTTAGTATTTAGGATCAGCTGAATCAGCCGTTAAAACTGCTGGAGCAGGGGTTTATTCAAGGGGATTCCAAATCAGCGCTGCGGTGGGTAAAGATGGAACAAATTTCGACGATGAGATAGCAGGGATCCTCATAGCCTTAAGAACATTGTCTAGAAGGCAGGATCAGAGCGCTGTTCTCTTCGTCGACTCCCAAGCAGGCATCCTCGCTGTTACAAGCACAAATGAATTTTTTTTTTTTTTTTTTTTTCTGTTCTTCCCTACCTCGCCTTTTAGGCTATACGGGATTTTTCCGGGCCGATGGGTGAGGGCGGGGAATTTAAAATCCCCTCCGGCACCGGGACGCGAACTCGTACTTTTCAAACTTCTCAAATCTATAATCCGGTTGCCAGGCAACTCGCGGTGCTGTGCACACGCTTTAACCTATTCGGCCAACCCGCCCCCTAAGCACAAATGAATGTTTATCAAGTGCTATATTGGAATGTAATTCACACTGATACGCCAATGTGGTCCTACAGTGGATCCTCAGCCATTGTGGGATTCTGGAAAACGTTGAGGCTGATATTCTTGCCAAGCGAGGAACTGATTTGTCTCAGCCGATTCATCCAAAACCTTAAGACTCAATACGGCGAATGGTAAAGATGGTAGTGAAGGAACAAATAAGAAAAGCACACTTGTACAAGGTGGAAGGGAAACACTATAAGTGTTTGATAGATAATCCGATCCCAACTGAACTACTGAGAAGAGATGGAGTTGCCTGCTTCCGCCTGGCCACTGGTCACGACTATCTGCAGAGTCATCTCTACAAGATAGGCGTGGCTGAGGATCCTAGCTGTAAATTGTGTCATCAAGGAACAATGGATGCAGACCATCTAGACGCACGCATGTCCTGCCTTGGGGGACATAAGAGGAAAAATATTTTCAAATATATATATTAGAAAGTCTAAATTATACTGGGTAGCAAGATGTCGGATGGCCAAATGACCAACGACTGGCATAAGATAAAAAAAACAAAAACATTTTAGTATTTTTAAATGTTTTATTTTGTAATTTTACAAATCTTGAGTATATTGAATAGCTTTGCTGAAAAAATCCCAAAAAGTGAATCTGTATTTGGCTTGATGTTACTGCTGCATGTTGACTAGTAATTCAAGAATAATCTATATAATGATTTAACTGAGATTAAAATTATTAATTGTGAATTTACTTAATTTAATTCTACTAATTATGAAACTATTGTCCACCCCTTGTTTAAAATTTGACCATAATCATTATTGAACATTTCAGTAAAACATAAATGAATTTGTGTGTCTCCGAGATCTTTTTTTCATACATTCACTTTTATATGTACTTCCAAAAAAAAAAACAAAAAAAAAAAAACAGTGCAGCACCATTTGTTTACTTTTTGAGTTATAGGCCAATAAAAATGTTAAGCTGTCGTAAATATAAAAATAAAAATATTTGAACCCACTTTCCTCATTCAGCGAAAATTTCAAACAAGAAATTTCTAATTTTCTATTCCTAAGAAAATTCTAATTTGAGGGTTTTTCCAGCTGTGAAATACCAAGCTTAATTTTGTTTCTCTTTCAAAAAATATTTGAAACCACTTTGCTTCCTCGGTCATTACAAATTGTTTCATTTCAATATTACTCTTATATTATAGCTATATTTTCAACATAAATGTTTCTATTCATAGGTTTAAAACGCCATATATCCACACCAAATCGACTGATTTTAGTCAATTTTTTTTATTTGGTAGTAAATTCAGGAAGATTTCTAATAAATGTAGGTATAAGTAGGATTTCTGCTTAATTTTGTGTGTATAGGTGGAGTCATATTTTTGTGTTACAATTTTTGTGTTTTTCAAAATAAAATTGAAGGGACTTACCTACCTTGATGAAAATTTGAGGGAATTTTTTTTATTTGTGTCTTCTTAAAAAAAAAAAAGATTTGAAGCCACTTTACACCTACAGCTGCTTTAAATTGTTTCATTTAAGAGACTATACTGCATGTGTCATATCGTTCATATTTTTGTATTATTCAGGTTCGTTGGTTGTTCGTATTTATCCAGTTCTGAAAGATAAGATCTGTCTACATAAGGGTGAAAGCTAACCCTCTGACAATATGTTGAACAACATTGTCTGAGGTTACACTTTATCTATACTTTGCCCAGAAATGTACTATTGTACCTACTCCACCATATTCTTGGATACCCCTTTTCCACTCTTCATTACCTCAGCCTTCAGAAACTGGCCAAGTTATAGACATGACCTTTCAGTGCTGGATGATGTAAAAATCCAATTTTTATAATTGAGGGTTATGTGGTTTTACTTTAACATCCTCAATATTATTTCATTGTTAATAATGACACTAAAACTTTAACTGTCAAACTTCAACATTTTAAAAAATTTATATGATAATTCTGATAGTTGTTTAAAACTTGATTTTTATTAGTAATAAACATCAATTTAATCTTTTTCTCTTAACATTCTTTATTCTCATCTCTAATATGTTTCAGCTTATTAGAATATTTTTAAGGAGAATCTTTTTATAATTAAAAATTAATCAGATTAATTTGCCCGAGTCTTTTTTTGCTTCATTTACAATTCAATATTAATAGTTTTTTTAATTTAATTTTTCAGAAAACCGAAGGAAAGTATTCGATTTAAAGAAAAATAACATGACATGTTTTCCTGATGGTATGACCATAGACAAAGATGGAAAATTATGGGTTGCTTGCTATGAAGGTTCACAGGTACCAATTATTTCACTGTTGAAAACAATCTATTAACAATATCTATATTGTTTATAGATATAACTATAATAATAATCATAACAGTCATATCTATCAACATCCAGAAGTTGAAGCTGTGGCCAAAAAAATTCACCTTCCAGGAATGAAGTCAAGGGTTAATCTCAAATGTTAAACTATATTTAAAAATTTCCTGTGATATTTGCTGTGCTGAGGAATACGGCTCTTCTCCCAACACTTTTTTTGGAAGCTTGAAATTCTCAACTTAGCTGATGGTATTGTCTGAGAAAATGTCAGACCCCTACTGTGCACACCCTACTTCCTCCACTTCCCTCACATCCTTATCAATTCCATATTGTGTTCTTTGCAGATATTAATATATATAAAAAAAATAATATTCTCAGAAAAAAAAAATGGCCACAGTGTCCCAAAGAGTTGTCCGAAAATATTGCAGACTGATATTGGATTAATTGGAAAAATGGAATTTGGCTTGGGTTAATTTTTTGGTCATTGATTAAAAAGGTGTTTGTTTTTACATCATAAGCTAGTAGAAGTATTAAACATGTACAAAGTAAACATTAAAAATCCAGATTGGTGTAGCAACTGATCATCCTTCTTATTCTAGCTTCTACTTCATTTCTTGATTAGTGCTTCAGTACACTGACCAGAGATATTTCTTATGGTCATTGAATTCTCTCTATGTCTTTACTTTTTAAAGAAACAACTAGTGTCTTTTCTTATGTTATATCAGGTTCAAGAGACAGAGAAACAATATTTCACTTTTACTGCCCATACACCACATCATTTCAGGAGTGATTTCATCCACTTCTGCTGACTAACCAATTGTTTTCTCTTATTCTTCCACACTGATGAAGTTGTCTTCTTCAGAGTAAACCTCTGTTGTCCTCTAAATCTTATGCTGACTGATTTAGCTTCTTTCTAGCAGCTCTTTATAATACTCTCTTCATTCTGTCTACTATGTATTAATTCCACAAAATAACGTTTCCATCATTATCCTTGGCTTCTTTTCAGAGATTGGTGCTATTCTTTTTTTTTTTTTTTCCTTAATAAATATTTAAAAAGCTTCACCCTCCCATTATTCTGAACTTTGAGACCGAATTCTACACATGATTTTCTGTTACATAAAAGAACACTTAGTTTCGCCTCTTTCCATCTACCTTATGTTGTCTTGTCCATTTGACACTCACTTTTGAAATTAATGTTTAGCCTGGCAAGTCTATCAACTACATATATAAAATAACTTTGATGCTTAAAACAGGGGTTGAAACTTTTTTAAAAAGTCCTGATTTAACAGTTTCTGCAGAACTTTTAGGGAAAACAGTTTCAAAAATAAAAGTTCTCATTAACTTTTTGGTAATCAAGTTTTAGGTTTAAGGTAAAAGTTTATTTATTTAATAATTCTTGGCACTATGGTCCTATAAAAACCAGGGCCTCTCTTATGATTTTCCTCCAATCTCCTCTATCCCGGGAGAGCATTCTCCATCTTCAAATTCTCACCTTATCCAGCCATCTTAGGCGTGGTCTTCCTCTTCCACGTTTTCCAATAGATCAATCCTCGAGCAAGCATGTGGGATATTATAGTAAAAGTTTATCTTTTATTTATTAAATATAAAAGTTATATACCTGAGGAATAAACAGTAGTTAACAACAAAAGTTTGATAGTTAAGAATAACAGTCATTTTTTAGATTTTTGGCAAAATCTACACAATTTTCGGATAAAATTTTTTTCTATAGGACATTTTTAAGACTTTTTGGAAAAATCTACAGAACTTTTGAATAAAAATTAGAATAAAAAATAAAAGTTCTGTAAAACCTTTATCTGAATTTTTTTAAGGGAAAAAGTTCTGGTTCGAAAATAACAGAAAATAAAAATTCCACTCATCCTGAGCATGATTAAAAATAAAAGTTTTTTATTTTTTATTTTTTTATTAACGAAATTTACAACTGTAATTAATAATAAATACAACAAGTAAATATGAACAAGTAACATGACATGTACAACATGAGGAGAAACTACCCATTGGTAGCGCTCCAATTATATTTCTATATTAGAAGGTCCCGAGGCCATCTTCTTTTTAGACGCCTTGGAGGGTTATCAGGAATAGAAGAGGAAGGAAGGTTGGAAACGAGAGGGTTCGGATGGTTCAGAAGTATATTATGAAAGGACAGGTATCTGGATTGAACTAAATCAAAAACATATGGTACATTAAGGTCATTATGGATGATTTTATTTGTGACAAAGTAGGGAACATTAAGGATTTTATGAAGGATTTTGGATTGTAGGGATTGGATAAGAGAGGAATTTGATGGCTTAGTAGAGCCCCACAGCTTGATCCCATAAGTCCAAATAGGCCTTATTATAGCAATATATATGAGTCTTTTGTAAATATTTGGCAGTTTAGAGCGTTTGTCTAGTAAGTGCTGGAGTAGTCGGAAACGTCGGGCGGTTTCTAGTCGTTTCAGTCTGGTATGGGGGTTCCAAGTGAGTCGTTTGTCAAGGTGGAGTCCTAGGTATCGGATTTGGTCAACAGGGATAAGTGGGGCATTGTTAAAGGATACTGTAAGACAGGAAGTCATAGGTTTACGACGAAGAGTAAAGGTAATTTTATGGGAAAAATAAAAAATAAAATAAAAGTTAAAATTTCATTTCTATCCTCGATTTAAAGTAAACCAATATCTATTTAGTTAATAGATAAGAGATATATTAGGTAGCAAAAATATAGAAAATGATTATTGTTTTATAAGTAAGTGTTTACCATTAGTAATAGTTTATTTATTTATTAGGTCATACACGTAGATCCAAAGACAGGAGAGCTACTTAATAAAGTGCCTATGCCTACTTCTCAAATCACCTCAGTGGCATGGGGTGGATCCAACCTGGAGGACTTATACGTTACCTCCGCTAACAATCATACCGACGGTGGTAACCATCCTGATGCTGGTTGCACATTTAGAATTACTGGTCTGTCAACTTCCGGTTTGCCAATGAATGAATTCAAGTTGTGATTAATTGTAAAAAGATATAAATTTTATTATTTTTTATAAGAAATAAACTTAAATCACAATTTTTCTTGTAATTTGTTAAATAAATATATATTTTAGCAAATATTAAATACTCTTCTTTATTACATTTGTAGTTTGTAATTTTTAATGGTGACATTGTTTTATAATAGAATGAAAAATGTGTGTAATTTAACATGCTTATTTTTTCTATAATAATCTTGAGAGGGTGCAAAGTTTCGTATACCTGGGCTCAGAAATAAACACTCAAAATGACATATCCCAGGAGATCATGCCGCAACCAATCGAAGCTATTTTGGGCTAGCTAAATACTTCAAAAGCAGACACCTCTCCAACAAGATCAAGATCGGCCTATATAAGACCCCGATTCGACCGGTACTTACGAATGGGTTAGAGACCTGGGCCTTTACTTGAGCCAGTGAGAACCTTCTTCTGGTGTTTGAACGGAAGATATTGAGAAGAATTTTTGCCCCGATTCGAGATGGAGACACCTGGATAAGGAGGAAGAATAAGGAATTCTCAAGACTGTATAGAGATCCTGATATCATCAAGTGGATCAAGATTGGGAGACTTTGATGGGCGGGCCACGTCGCAATGATGAAGGAGGATGAGATCCCTAAGAGGACATTGGCTGAAGAGCTTCATGGCAAGCGAAGAGTGGGTAGGCCAAATGTAAGGTGGGCTGACTCCGTCACAGTGGAGTGTGTGTGTGTGTGTGATTCTCGTTGCTCCGTCTGTCTTGTCATAATGCCAATTGAGAATCTGGTTATAAAAATATTTATAGCTAAGATCAAATACTATATTAATAAAATAAGTATGAATATATATAACAACATCTGTTAAATCAAAATTATAATAGAAAAATCCATCATTTTTCTGTGCTTAATAGTTTGTTGTTAATATATATTTTACAATATATTAATAAAATATTTTTTTAAAAATATTATGATATACCTTAAATCGGCCTAGGAAAAAAATATAAACTACTCTAAAATTTGATTGATGTTTTAAGTTTCAAAGAGTGTACGTAGAATTGAAAAGCCGAATTAAATAAAAATATTTAGTTCTCTATTTTTTAAGAAATCGAATTAATTGATTTTATCCTTTTTAAGTCAAATGAAATAAATGTTATTTATTTCAGAAGCAATGATCTACTTTAAAATCATTGTCCATGTGGTTATAATTTAAGAAAAAGGACAGAGTATAATTTAAAAAAAATGTTTTGATCCTCTGATGATATAGGCATTGCTAGCATAAATAATGTAAATTTTTTTTATTTATACCATATATTATTTTTAGACGTTTTAACTTCTAAAATATAGATTTAGGTGATTTTTATAAAATTTAAGGAAATATCACTAATGTCATTTCTGAAATAATCAATTCAAATATGTTACACAGTTAGAATAGATCTTTACTATAATATGAATGATATAATTTTATGTTTAACTCTTAAAGTTTAAAGTTAAAGTTAACTATATATCAAATTCCAGGTAACGTATTTCAGTTAGAACCTTCTCAAAGGTCAACTTTCAAAATTTGTTAGCAGTTAGCACTATGTCTCACTGTTAGTTTCTTTATTTTTCAACTGATGGCACTAAAATTATTTGGGAAATAGATAATTTTGTTGTGAGTGATTTCTGAGTGAAACTCAATTTGCCTAATTTTGTTAGTTAGAACATTTTCAAACCAAGGCCAGAATATATCAGTAGATCTGTACATATATATGTGCTCAGCACACACAGCATGATAGATTACTTTTCTTTACTTTTTTAATTATATTTTTGGATAAAAAATTTTAGATGTCAATGCTTCTAATAATGAAATAGAGGTCCATCCTTCATTCATTCTTGAATAAAATTTTAAATTTCTATTGAAATGTATGTATTCTATTTTAGGTTCCTATTACATACATACATATCTGGTACAATAACCCGTTATTCAGTCTAGGTCCTCCTCAAATAGTTTCCGCCAGACGGCATTGTCTTGTGTTGCAGCAATCCAGTTGTTGATATTCAGCAGCTTCCTCACATCCACTTCCACACCATCTAGCCATCTTGTTGTTTTATTAACAGCAATTTTTCATATCAATCGTACCAGATCATCATTTTGGTACTAAATTTTTACAATTAACAATAATAATAATTCTTGAGTAATACGTTTTGAAATCAGAAATATACATTTTTTATAGTCTCTATGATATATTTTGAGTCTGCAGTACTAGGTGGGGAATATACTTGTCAACTATTTGCAACAGAACATCTTTATTTCCGTAATTTATTAGTAATTTTGGCTTACAAAAATACACATATATCCACATACACACAGATGTATATACTGCAGGTACCGCTTGCACAATTAAATTTGCTTCAGAAATATAATATTTAAAAAATTTGTACATTAATAAAGTATACCTACATATTAATATATAATTTATTTTGTGTGTAAAATGTGATTTTTATTTTCTGATCAAAATATTTTTTATCAAAATTTAATAATTATTATTTATGTAAAACCGTATCACTCAATGAGTGATAACTGACTTTTAATTGAATCAATAAACATCAAAGTTGATTTAAGTTTTTATTTATATATCAGGCATGATTTTAATATTAAAAATCAAATATAATAATTATTACATGATTTTGTGGGAAAAATAATTATTGATTTCAAACCCTGGTCCGATCGATTATTCAAACTCGGTACATAATTAGCTGGAAGCATTGCTAGGGAAGGAGTTTATAATAGAAAGATAGTTATATGTTTTGGAAATACACATGATATGGATCTTTTAGGATAATTTTATTTCTGTGATACCATAGAGTATTGAAGATTTTATGAAAGATCTTGGATTGTATTTGAGTAGAATATCATTATTATTTGAAGTGATATTGGCCTTATAATAGTTTTGTTGATAAATTTATTATTATAACATTGTAGTTCAGAAAACTTGTAGTTTTTAGTTGTAAATTATATACATATACATCTCTAGTTCATTTTAAACATAGAGAATGACAGAGGTAAATATTTAAACTTAAGACAAAAGTTTAAATTTAAATGGTAGATCATACTATCATACTAAAAAAAATACATCTCTCAAATATTAGGCCAAATATAGATACAATAGACAAACTAACATTTGTTGGGAAGAAATACTACAATGGTTTGTATCAAAAACTTCAAGAAGCCTGTATCTAATGTTCTTTCTAAAAGAATATATTGTCGGTTAATTGCAAAAAGTCACCAATAGCTTTTTTGATGTAGATTAGCTTTCAAAAATCTTTTTATGAATTTTGACTTTATTTATCGATTCAAATGAAAATGAAACCAGACAAATACACATAAACCAACCAACAAACATACACAAACCAAATATAGTTACAGAAAGTGCCCAATTTTCGGATTTCATAATACCTAATAAAGTATATCTATAATAAGTTAAAATAAGTATACCCACTAAAAATATTATAACTAAAACTTTTAATTATTTATTCTTCAATAGATATTCAGCCAAGGGTCACCAAAAAATATACATAGAGCCATTCTCAAGTATTATATTTCAAATATTTATAATTAGTCATAGACCATTTAAATATTTAAATTTTAACTCAGTCAGTTTTTAAACTTTCTGTATATAAATTGTCATATTACTATATAATTTAGAATATAATATAATTAATTTAGATCATTTTAGTTTATATAAATTTTATTACCTATCATGCTTCATTTTCAAAATTTTTTTAATATCTTTTTTATCGAAAGTCATCCTTATGATCCATTTTGTATTCCAGGTAATTTAATTGCTAACACTAAAATTACATATAACGTTAAATTTATTTCTAAAAATATTACAATATTTTGATCATAAATATGTACTGGTTTTGTGAAAGACCTCATGTCCGGTTTTACTTAGCTCTCTACTCAAGACTAGATTATTATATTTAGGAGTGACGATGGAGTGGTTAGAAATATAATTTTTAATGTATTTCTATTTAAGGCATACCTCGTTTTTTTTTATCCAGATTCACTCAACTATGCATATATGTAAATGAAATGAAATGAAAATAATTTTACTACCCTGGGACTAGTGTCCCTTTAGAAAAAATTATAAATGCAAAATATAAATAAAACATGTCAGTGTGACCATAACAAATTAAATATTTAGAAAATAACAAATAATATAAATTAAAATACAGGCTATTGAAAGAGAAAAAATGTCATACATGTATATAAAATAAACAGAGAATGACAGAATAAAATAACTTCTTTTATTAGGGCGAAGTTAATGTAAATTATTAAAAGGTTGGCAATGGAAAACTTTCATAATAATTTAGTGCTAAATTTTATAACATCATATCATGTTACTGATGTTTTGGGATTTTATCCCATCCTCAGAGCTATGTTTTCCATTACAATTCAAATTATTGACATGTGTGCTCTTGTTTGACATATAACTGATGTCAAATTTTCATATTTTAATGATTAATATTTTTCATGTGGCTACATATTACCAAACCAACAATTGGTCAGCACTACCAAGATTCAATGTTTTCATTGCCGCCTTTTAAAAATAAAATAAATAATATAGTATCTGGATGTACTGAAAGAGTTATCTTAAGTGCAATGTGTGATCGATCCGATTAGAAGTGTTATAGGTGCTTAAAGAGGTGATATTTGAAAGAGGAAACTGATTGTGCCTGTGGAATATTAGGAGGGATAGGTTTAGTTTCTAGTCAGGGATAACACCCTAAGATTTTTCGTATTTCTAGATCAGTTCTATACCATCAGAATCTTGCAAACAGGAAATAATATGAATCTTACAATAATAACGAGTCAACAATAAGTTTCTAAATGATGGTACTGAATATGCAATCTCACTAACGGACAATTACATACAAAAGATGAAGAACATAAAAACTGCTTATTATTTCTTGTTTAGAAATTCAGAAACCAGTATACGGACTTTTTTCCCCATCCCTTTCTCGTCTGTTAGGTCTATTAGACTAAACCTGGAAAATCCCTATTTTCCAGGTTCAGAGGAGGGGGCTCAACTGTGCTGAGTTGCTAAATCACACAGGATTCTCAACAGTCAACAGATGATACCATACAAAAATATAAGAGAGAATTACTCCTAGGTTGGACCATTGGAATACATATCAGATATGCCAAGAACAGTTAATTGAATCAAATAAGTGAAGGCCTAGTTCAATACAGTGGCGGATCCAGCTATTTTCTCAGGGGAGGGGGGGTGCATCTCTGTACTAGATGCTTCCCTTACCCGTTCCCCCACCACTACCCTTCTCCCTCCACTCCTTAGCTGTGTATGAGCAACTAAAAAGTCCTCTTTAAATGGTTTTAACAAAAGTAAAATCTATTTTTATTTAAAGTAAATTTTTTCTAGTTTACAGTGAAGCAATTGTTAATTTCTTAAATCCAATAGTTTTTTTTTTAATCTCTTCCTATTCAATAAAAACCGTGACTTACACAATAAAACACAAATCTCTATTTTCCTGCTAAAAATCGAACCATTGTTTCTATACACGTTTTTGAACTTATTGAGTTCTGCTTTCACTTCTTTAAATATTTTCCTCTGTTTACGATACACTCTGTGTATGGGTTTAGACATGTAAAAAAATAAATTGCTAACACCGGTTATAGCATTTCAACTATTGGAAATGGATAAAAACTGGGTCCGGGAGAAAACCTTTCCTTGTATTCGAATAAAAGGTTCGAAAAAATAAATGAAATTCATTTTTTTTTTAAAATAAATTTTCCTCCATCGAGTATTTCACCTGCGAGACTAAGTTCGGAGTCAATGGAAACAAACTGTGACAGGAGCACAAGCCTTAACATCTCACGGCGACCCAAAAACAACATCACTGTTTTCTTTAAATAGCTTCTTTTTTTTAAAACTTTTTCGGAATTTTTCGTCCACCATCCATGGGGAAGGCGCTCAGGCAGAATTTGCTAGTGCTGGTTACGATACTAATTTTTTCTTATATTACATTTAGAAATTCGTGTATGAGGATGAATTTTCACTATATTTCTCTTTTCTTTAAATAGGCGCTTTTAGGAACTTTTTTTTGTATTTTCTTTCCGCTTTCAGGGAGAGAGGGCAGGATCCGCTAGAGGTTCAATGTATGTGGTGATGGAGGATTCCTAACGAGTCTAAAATAATAGTTCCTTTCACAGTCTGCATCTGCTCTCTTCCAACATCGACCTTCTGCAAGAAATCACCGGCATTAAGATGGATGCTTCCCCTGCTTCCGAACCAAAGCCCTTTAACTAAGTATTCTCTCTCATAATATTCATCTTTCTACTTTTCCTTTAGGTAAGGTATACATTTAATATAAACTTCCTATTTCTCTGCCTGTACATTGAACTCCAGTACTGATCGTTGGTTTCAAATCTGATCATGGGATCCACTATGAGTGCCTCCTTTTCCATCCCATTGTATGACAAGATATCAATGAACTTTGCTGAGCCTTCTGTATCCAGGCAATAAACTTCGAGGAAACAGCTCTTTATTTCAAGTAATTCTTTTCCCCAGAGTAGATCAAAATCACAGAGTATCCTGAAGAAAATTATTTAAAATATTGTACCCTGATCTCTTCTACGTGAAGTAATGTACAGCACATACGAGCTTCATCAGTTTTTTTTTTTTTTTTTTAAGAATTCGTAAGCTTGGAATCGAATTATGTTATAATTGCCACGTTTCGTGCAGACCTGAGTGAAGATCAGGATGTTTTAGATGCACTTTTGATTATTTCGAGACACCCTCTATTTTTCTTTTGGTATTTTAAACATAAAATGGTTCAAGTATAACCAACCCATAAGTAGATAGTAGGTACTTACAACAAAAGGTAGTGAAGAAGGTTTGTGGAGGAGGCCACGGTTCTTCACGTGCTTTGTGCCATCGGAGATAGACAAGTGGGTACTTACAATACGAAATAAAAATTATTAAAAATTGACGAACGGATAGTTGTCCAAAATGTTATATTATTTTTAAAATAAATTTATTGTATTTTTTTATGTTTTACCCAACTTGTACAATACTTATTTTTGTCTTTCACCTCTAAATGTTCTGATTCCAAAATGGCGGCCGTACAAAACTGTCACTTCAAGTATTAATAAACGGTAGTTTGAAGATGTTTGTTTGCTTGCTTACATTAAACTACAATTTTACATGACATCTATAATAAATTGTGCCTACCTATTTCTTAGTGTTTCATCCTACATTTATTTGATCAATGAGATTCATCCTTTAGGATCTTCCAAACATTTTCTAGTTACCTTGGACTGATCAGACATAAATAACTTTGTCTGCCATCCCAAGTGGACGTATTCTAAGCGTAGACATGACCCAAAAAAATACACTTTAAAACTCAAAATTTAGAGTAATTTGAAGTCGTTTATTCGAGATATAAAAAAGGGGATTCATAAAAAAAACAAAAACGATTCAAGGATATTAAAACTAGTTAATTGGATCACTTTGGGTATGAATTATAAATAATGTTGCAAATTAAAACGACGAATTGTCTTGTTAATTGAGAACCACCAAGATTAATAACTTGAGCTATTGAGGTTCTATAACTTTAACAGAAATATTATTTAGCTGGCCACTATTATATCGTTCATCCTAAACAATCAATATTTTTTACTTATTTAGAGCCAGGGTAAGCCGCCCAGTTTGTACTGAACTGAAGGTGAGTCGGGTTGAAGGAGCTTCAAGGTAGAATCGGTTAGTTTTCAACTTTTTATAAAATTTCACATTAATTTTATTGAATTACAGCATACTTTTTATTCATGTTAATGTTATCTTATTGTTAATTTCTAACTTAGTTTTTATTTATGTAGTGATTTATTCATGTGATAAGTACGGTTGTACTATTCAATTTTTAATTTTTATGAATTTCGATATGATTCATTTTATTTATTTTATTATTCGTATGACGATTGATTTTCCATTACGCTGTGGTTTTAGTATCATAAGTATACTAATGGAGTTTTTTTTTTCCTAGTTTAATATTCAAATATAATATCAGAATACAGTATGCATAATATCAACTAATAGAGGTGCTTTTGCTAGTTTAATATTCAAATATAATATCAGAATAAATTTAAGTCTTACTAAACTGATTATAACTAAATTGTGCCTAAATATTTCTTAGTGTTTCATCCTAAATTTATTTGATCAATGAGATTCTCCTTTAGGATGTTCCAAATATTTTCTAGTTACCTTGGACTGATCTGATTACATTAGCTAAATGTTCATGATCGTAAATTGATTTTTATCTGTTTACTTTTGTACTATCAGTAGGCAAGAAAATAATTATAATCAGGTCAGATTTTGGACCTACAGTTTTCAAATTCACAGACCTATTCAACCATTGGTATCTGCCTTGATTATTTCTTGAACGGGTGGAATGATTATTTTTGTTTTATAGTTTCGACACTTGATGCCTGTGAACTGAATTGTGCACCACCTTGTGCGCAATAGTTGTTGAACGATAGGCAATATACGAGTTTTCTACAAACTTTCTTTTACTGTTGTTTGAGTTGCTGGATGAATATAAACTTTGTTTCTCATGAAAAAAAATATTTACCCCTTCATTGCTCTGTGAGTCGATTCTATTTTTTTGTATTATTGTACTCAATATAGCTTGGATCGACCGACGTAGCATTCAAGGGGTGAAGATTTTTTTAATGAGAAGCAAAGTTCATATTATTTTTCCGCACCTCAAATAACCCTAAAATACTTTTTTTTTTCAGCAATCGGAAAACAAAAGCTTTTTGCACCAAAAGTTTGCTGACTAGATTGGACCCTTCCAATTTTTTTGGAATTCTGTAAAAGTTGGAATATTTTCAGGAGGACTCCACTGATCCAAACGATTTATTTTTTCTTAATTATTCTACATTATAAATGAAAAATTTAAAAGTTATTAATATGGGTGGATGAACAATAATTCAGCTTTGTAATGATTGTATTAAAATTGTGTTTGGAGAAAATCCTGAAGAGTTATGAATGATTTAGTTGACAGCAGCAAGAACAAAATCCACTAAAAAAATCAAGTATTGAAGTTTGTATAAAAATTCATATTTATGTTAAGTGTATGCCAGGGGATATATCAGCAACTTTTGTTTATGTAATTTATGAAACATTATTTAATATTATCTGGAATATTTTTTTCTTATTTGGCATAAACAAACGATTGATTTGTGTATCTAAGAATACTATAAACATTTAGACAAAGAAAAAAACCAGGCAAAGAAATTAATTGCTCATATGTGCTGTACGAACCATTATTTGTTGGCCGATCAATTGTTGAAACTGAAAGTAGAAGGCAGAAGGAAAAGAGGTAGACCAAAGGTAAAATGGAAAGACGCGGTGGAAGATAGCCTGGCGGTAAGATAACATGCTTCGGAGAAGAACGAGCCTTACAATTAGGTAGAGAAGGAAGGAAAAATATCTGATATAAAATTCAAGGATAACTACAGTAGTGCCAAATTCCTTAATCAAAAATTAAAAAATCAATTGTTTACTTAATTCTTTGTTTATTTCTTAATCAAACAAAAATGTAGAACATTAGATTAAATTTGCAATCTGCGAATTTCTTTGCAATGAGCAAATTTTTCGGCAGCTTCACAGCTTCCTTCCCATCACGTCCGTCATATAAATCGGAGCAGCAGGTCTCTCGGCCAACGCCTACGTAATCGTCGTAGTGGGCTGTACGGGTTTCTTGTACGATGAAGGCTTTCTGTCAGGGGATTCATGTTGTACGTCAGTCTTTGGTGAAAGTTATCGTAGTTCTCTTTTGAAGTATCTGAAATTGTAGGTACGTTTAAGTCTTTATGTAGTGTATCATTTGCGACATAAAGTAGGCAATTCTAACGAAAAAACACCTAACAAAACACCTAAAAACAAAAACACCTATATAAACCTATGTAATTTAAATTAAAATAAAGTTGGTGGATATTCTTGTAGCAAGCACATTAAGTATCAACTTAAGATTTTGAGATTTAATGATTATCACAAAGGAATCTCACAAACGATTAAAAATAAATATTTTAAAGTTGTGAGATAGAACCTATTCCAGAAGATGAATGTTTCGAAAAATATGTTATATGGATTTTAATGCATGGAATGATGCAGATGTTTTATGTTGATATATTACTTTTATCACCTAACGATTACGAATGCATTACTGGAAGGGTTTACTAGTAAACGCTTGTATCTAATTTATTAAAATGAGAAATGAATATTTTATAAAAATTTAATGGTGACCATTTGTATAATAAAATTGAGTTATATTAAATAAAACCTCTTTATCAGTTGGTTTTGACACAATTTTTGCCATTTAGCCTCACTAACACGGCTTCTCGTTACGATACAGTTTTTAATAATTGCCCATTAAAGAGAGGATGAAATGTTGAACAATTCCCTAGCATACAGTATGCAGGTCCGATTTTTAGTTTCTGAAATGCTTTAATTCATATGCAAAAACACCTCAATTAGTCGACTACAGCCAACTTTACCCGAGCGTTACACATCGGTGGTCTGACGGCTCAATCTAATAACCTCCCCTAAAAAAAAGTGCAAAACGCTCCTAAAGAAGTTTTCACTTCTTTAACGACCACAAAAAATGAAATATCAATCATGTTATCCAAACATTTATTATTTAAATAAATACATATAACGCCTGTGTCCCATCCTAGATTCTAATCAAATAATCCCAGACCACCAATTTGGATTCCGCACATCTCATTCCACTATCCAGCAATGTCATCGTGTGGTGGACGTAGTCTCCTCTGCATTGGAGCGCGGATTGTACTGCACGGGAGTCTTTCTCGACGTTGAACAGGCGTTTGATAGGGTCTGGCACCCTGGACTGATGTACAAAATCCGTAAATTCCTACCACCTACATACTTCCTCATCATCCGCTCCTACCTTACTGATAGATGCTTTAAAGTAAATCACAAAAACTCTTATTCATCCCTTTTTTCCCAGTCTGCTGGTGTTCCTCAAGGTAGTATCCTTGGTCCTATCCTTTACACAGTTTATACAGCTGACATCCCAACCCATCCTGACACTGTCATCACCACATATGCTGATGACACATGTATCCTATCTGTTAATAATGATCCATCAACTGCATCCCAAACTCTCCAATCACATATCACAAACCTTGAAGAATGTTGTAAAAACTGGAGAATTAAAATAAATTCCAATAAATCCCATCAAATTACCTTTACCCTGCGTCGCAAACCCATGACCTCCTGTCCTACAGTATCCTTTAATAATTCCCCACTTATTCCAGTTGAACAAATCTGTTCCACCTGGACAAACGACTCACATGGAATCCTCATACAAGACTGAAACGACAAGAAACTGCTCGACGTTTCCGACTACTCTAACACTTACTGGATAAACGCTCTAAGCTTTCAATCAATTACAAAAGACTAATATATATAACAATAATAAGACCTATTTGAACTTACGGAATTGAGCTTTGGGACTCCACTAAACCATCAAATTCCTCTCGTATCCAATCCTTACAATCCAAAATCCTTCGTAAAATCCTCAACGCTCCTTACTTTGTCACAGATAAAATCATCCATAAAGACCTTAATGTTCCATATGTTTCCGATTTGTCCCAATCCAGATACCTATCCTTCCATAAAAAACTCCAGAACCATCCGAACCCTCTCGTTTCAAACCTCCTCTTCGATCCCTGATAACCCTCCGAGGCATCTGAAAAGAAAATGGCCTCGTGATCTACTTACGTAAATATATTATTAGAATGCTATCATTGCGTAGTTTCTCAACAAGCGTTTTCATGTGATTGTATTATTACTGTGTGCACATTTATTAGTTGTATTTTTTTATAATACAGTTGTAAATATCTATGAATAAAAAAAATTATAAATACATATATTTTCATAAATTAGGTTTTATTCAAATTTAAATACTTACTAAGATTAATGTTTTGATATACCACTTAATTAAGACAGAAAAATAAATATTCAAAGAATAAAAAATATATGCTACAGTTTCACCTGTATTTTGCAGAACAATGGTGGCAGCTATAGAGAAGGTCTCAATACCAGCACTCGCTGTGGGTGAAGCACCCCATTGGGACATAGCCACTCAGTCCTTGTACCTTGTGGACGTTATGGGATCGGCCATCGTGCGCTATGACTTGGCATCTGATCAAGCATTCGTCGCAAAACTGGGTGAGTGCACATAACAATGTTAAAAGTGTAAGTGAGTTAATTTATCAATAGGTCTCATTGTCCTAGAAGTAATTATTACTATATTAGGGAGAACAAATTAGAAAAAAAAATTGTACGTTTTTACTAGAGCTCTCGAAGTCGAAAAATCATGTTCTTTTTTCTCACTATTAAATTTACATACAAGTTCAACATTAGTTGTAATAAATTTGATGATATTTTCATGATATGAGTCGTGTATTTCCAAAATGAATCCTATATCATTGAAAAATTTTCAATAACTGCGAAAAATTATATTTTCAATTTAATTTTTACTATAATATAATAATTAGATAGTCGTAATGATATAAACATGGCTCAGGGATGTTCCGTACCTCCACGTAATGTAACGTGTATTGTAAAACTTCAAAAGTTCCAACCGAAATTATTGCGATTCATAACAAAAGCACCTTGGTACGTAACTAACAAAACTCTACATACTGACCTCCACTTTCCAACAGTTGACCAACATATAACGACCCTTTATCAAAGATTTTACACAAATTAATTAGAGACATGGCCACGGCTGACATACCTCAGAACATGAGGAGGAGACTAAAAAGGCGTTGGATGAGGGATCTCCTTCCTTAGACAACCTAAGTAATTGGGACAAGTTAGGGAAGAGGTACTGCTGAGTACTTTCCTTCCCCGTGCCTGTCATATCATTATCTCTTGTATCGCCATCACATTTGTTGATTGTCAACAATAAGTCGACAGGCGCAAATACATTTTTATAGACAAAAAAAAAAAAAAGTTTTACTATAAAAACCAAAATCTGAAATGAAATTTTAAGTTTTATTGTTAATCAGTTTCGGTTTGACTGAAATCGTTATTTGCATTTTTAACTCTGTTCAAAGTGATACGAGCTGAGCCAATTTCTTTTAAGTCCACAAGGTCAATATTTGATTAACTGTATGGGTTCAAGTCATGGTGATTTTCCATTTCTCATGTTCTTTAATGCACAATCTAATTCATCAACTGAGGCTTTTACTAAGAGCTTATCAGCCTCTTTTGTTTTATCTTCCATTTCTTCCAACATGAATTCTCTTTCAATAACTTTGAGAAGAACTCTACCCCATGGTTTTTCTTGTATAAGACTAATTTTAACATTTTCCTGTTTTGAATTCTTAGTTGATCTAAGAATAAATATTCCATGATTCCGCAGACTTTTTTCCGTGCATGCAACGATCAATATATTCACAGTTCTTATTCCATAACTCATTTACAGCTTTCTTCCTTTTCCATTTCACCACACTATTGCTTCTTTTGTATTCTTGTAACCTGATGGGAGGCATTGTTGGAAAACCACTTCTTGTATAATTCCTTCTTTTCATTGACTGCTATGGCCACTTCTTCATTCCACCATTCTTTATCTATTGTCACACCTCTTTCCTATATGTCCAATCCCTCTAGATATGCTTGAAGAATCGCAATCTTAATCTGTGTATATTGATTTTTCATCTCGATGAAGTTTGTTTTAAACTTTTCTAGCATATTTTTTTAATCTATTTTGATATAGAATAATTTTCGGCAACCTTAAGGAAACTTCAAAATGTATTTGTTCCGTTTTCAGTCGCCTACGTGGTTCTAGAATTTCGGTTCTTTTAAGTCAGTTAAAATTTTATGATTTCAATATATATGTGTGAAACAGTTTCTTTTATTTATTTATTTTTTTATTTTAATACGGAAAACCAAAAGACCAAAAAAATTAAATCTGACCGCCTTCAGAACGAAAGAACTACTATGACATTGTGCGCGAATGTGTGTTTCTTGCCAAAAAAAGTAAGACTCGTCATCCTGGCGCACTCGGATGCGAGTCACTTTTCTTTTCGTCGGATTCTAAAATTCAGCGATATTTTCGACCTATAAAAATAAATGAATAGTAGAATATGCCAGCGCAAGAGATATCCCAACTTCAAATTAGCGCCTTTCGCCAGCTCTAGACCATTCTCAACACTTAAGATTCTTCAATAACTCTAGTGGGTGCCGAAAACTGTATGGGGTGCCGACAACTGGGAATTTTACCATTGGATCCTAACTGAATTTTGTTTTATGCTATCAAGTAAATATTTATTGGCATTTCCTTTTTGTCCATTTTTGGTCTATATGAATCTTTTGGGGAAGATAGACGTTCTAGGCTTAAATGTCAAATAACAGCTGAGAATGTAATGGTCGCTTCCGCATTCTGTACCCCTCATTACTTTGACTTACGGAGGCGTTTTCGCCTATAGTATTTCGTCTAGATTATGTATTCCATTTTAAGCGTGATATTGGTCACCTCTCTGCACAACTATCATGAGTTATTACTGTTACAGGTTTTTTGTTATTTATTTATTTTTTTGTTTAGTTCAATTGTAGATTGTAATTGCCTTGTTGGTTAAGCACAAGTGTACTTTTGAATATTTTTATAAAATCCATTTAAGATTTTCATGTCCATTTCTTCATAAAGATCTATTAGTTTATAGCCACTACAGTTTTTATTAATCTTCCGACTGTCCAACAGTTTTCACTCTTGCATTTAAATCTCCTATCCAGCGGAATATATTCCTGTCGGCAACATATCCGTTGTCTCAAATCCTCGAAAAATTTATCTTTGTCTGTAGCAAAAGCATCATCATTAGTTATGCACTTATGATAACAACTGGGTGCCCATCGATTTTCACTTCCACATTAATTTGCCTTTCGTCAATATATCTACTTATGTTTTTTAAAGTTTTGTTTATCAAAATAGACACTCCACCTTTGGATCTTTCAGTTTTTTCTAATCCACTAAAGAAGTGAATATACTCACCATACATTCCTGTAACTTTTAATTCCGTCACCTTTTAATATACAACAATGTCCACTTTTAATTTCTTTAATTCACCTGCAAATCATTTTGTGTTTTTGTCCTTAAACCTTGTGTGTTCCAAGTTTCAATTCGTATTTTCCATTTCCTTAGCCATTGTCGTTTCCTTTTTGACAGTCTAAAAGGTAAAAATGGTGTTGATGACCAATGAAGTTTTACCCCATTAAGCATTAACGAATAAACATACTAACAATTGATATTAAAAACAATTTTATTTTTAAAGTATTTAGTGAGAACGATAAATATGAAACACTATATTAAATTGATCCGATTAAATTCTTGATTGATTAGAAAAAAAAATTATACCAGTAATGCATTATAAAATAAAAATAAGGAATAAAAAGCATTAAATTTTTGAATGGCCTTTTTTTCAGATGTCCCAGCTATATCTTTCATAATACCTGTTGCTGGTTCCAATGAGAAGTTCGTCATTGGGTCTGGTCATAATATTTGCCTTATCGATTGGGATGGCTGTTCTGATAAAATCGATTCAATGGAAGTTCTTTGCGAGATAACCGACCAGCCGGAAACCAATGTAGTTAATGATGCAAAGTGTGACGCCATTGGACGACTATGGTTCGGTAAGTTATTTAACAATATATGTAGTGAGAAAATGATGTAGGCGAAAAACATTAGTATATTCTTATTCATTACTTTCTCCGATCGTCACTATTATTGTATTAGAAGATGAAATCCTCTACATTTAACATTTCAGAATTTTAATAGACTTCCCAATCCTATTAATAAAATCTAATAACTTAACATCTGGATTTTACACAATCCCCTAAACTGTATTACGTATAACTACAACACAAGAACTGAAATTTACATTATAAAGAAGGATTTTTACTGGCTATGTATGAATATGTTGAAGAAGAAGCCTAAAAAAATCAAGTATACCTTTTTCTACAGATTTTAGAATAATTTATACAACTTTAAATATGTACATTAAAAAAAAAAAATTGAATTTTACTAATTTTTCTAGAAACCGTTCAGAGAAATGATTAAAGTACGATTTATTTGGTAAACCAAAGCGGTGTAAACGTTTATGCGAATCATCATTAAAAGTAGGGTACAAAAATCTGTTACAAAACAATTGTTACAAAAAATAGGTTTAATCGCAGGAATCGGTAGTCAAAACCCTACAAAAAAAAAAAAATAAATAATAAAATAAAAAAAAAAAGAATCAACAAAATCGGTCCACTCGTTCCCGAGATAATCTTGGTACAGACAAGCATACCAATAACTGAAAATATTTTTTCTGACTCAGGGTGATCTGAAATAAAAGATTCGTTAAAAATCGCACATTGGAAAATTGACTCGATCGCAATACTTTCCTTACATAATAGCGCCTGGAAATTTAAAAAAAAAAGAAAAAAAAAATATATATATAAACTTCTGTAAATTTTATTCCCAAACAACAATTAACAGATCTTAAAATATAATTGATTATGTAACCAATAGAATTGCATAGGAAGGTATGTTTACACTACTTGACAGACATTTTTGTTATTATTTGGTTATATACTTTAATGTATATATTTCCAATTCTTCGCTCATTCTCATTCTTTCACTCAGCAATCATTATTTCAATTTTAATTTTTGGTTATTGAATGAATGAATGAATTAATTTATTTATTTATTTTATTTCTGTTCACATTCACAACGAGAAACAATTTCAAATAAAGAAATTCTCAAAAAAAATCTTGGTGTATGCCATCAGCTTTAGTAGCTTAAACTAAATTAAAATTTTGTTTTGGATTAAAAATAAAAAAAAAATCGTAATTTAAGCATACGGATTTTCATACTTATTTAATAGGAATGTAATAATTTCAAGTCATTTCATTACTTATGTCATTACTATAACGGTTTTTCACATTTTTATTTTATTTAAATTTATTGTGCCTCGTCCCTCTCATGTGGGGGGATAAGTATGGTTCGGAGTTCCCATGGCCGACTATAAATAGGTATGCCTGCATCTAAGATGTTTATTTTCATTACTTTTTTTTTTAAAAAAGATAATTTTAATTCTATTTTATTAATTTATTTTTATTCTATTGTTACTATTTTTTCCTTCAATATTTTCTTCCTTCACTATGATATTTTATTTTGTTCTTTTTTTAGCTTTATATTATTTGAACTTAGCTTATTTATTTTTTATTTTAATTTGTAAATATGGTGCGATTGTGCTCCCAGAACTCTATTATAAATATCCTTTATTGAGACAGATTGTAATATTTATCAATAAATACCTAATCCAGTAAAAATTTATTGTAATATCGTATTTCAAACTCTCCCATTTTATTCCTACTATATCTGTATTTTTTCTTCGTCCCTTTTATACTTTCATGGTTGTAATTCATTTTGCATGGCACTGATGAAGGGCTAACTTGTTGTTCGGTTCACAATAATAATAAGCTTACACTCAATATAAATTTTGTTCCATGTACATATTCTCCCTATCAATTACTCTCCTCATTAAAGCAACGATGTCCCTACCATCATTAAAAAAATTCAAATATTATTAAGTACTATCCACATCACACCAAATCCTTCCTCCTTAACCCTACAATTCTAAAATTTCAGAAAATATTTGAAGTATGATAATGATTATCTTAGAGTAAATGCATGTATTTAGCCCTTCATCTCTATACACAATCAATGAGACTTGCCTCTTTGTTTTTTCATGAACTTAATCCAAAGGGACTTACAACACTACTGTGATTTTCGCCGGAGATGAAGTAGCGGCCTCTGCCAAGTTATACAGTTATTCCAAAGAAGAAGGGTGTAGAGTTCAGGCTTCTAATATGAAAGTCAGTAACGGATTGACCTGGGATCCCGAATGGAATACATTATACCATATTGACACTCTCACATATTCAATTTGTCGATTTGATTACAATAAGGATGGTAGCATTGGTAAGTATACTAAATACCTCATTAAGAGATTTTAAGGATAATTTAGTGACAACTGGTTACTAACTAAAAATCTAATTTTATAAGAGAGCCAGAAAGAACTTAATTTTTATTTATTTTACTTTCTGCATGTACCCGAGTGGGTCATCAGCCTGAAATGTTTTGATTGATGCATGTGTTATAAATTAAAAATCCCAATACCATTTGAAAAGTGTTCTATGCTTAATCTGAACAAAACGTTCTAGTGGTTAAAAACTGCTTATTTGTTGCCACATATAATTATTAGTGTTAAAAAAGTTTATTTAATTACATTCACTTACATTTACTCATAGAAAACCAAAAATTAGTCAATTAATTTTTTTAAAAATAAAAAAATCTTATGTGGAATACAAATCATACAGAAAAATGCTCAATAGTATTGTTAGTGGTTCGCCTATTGTTGCCACTAATTTTTATTTATGTGTATTTTTTAGATATGGCATAGATATCGGGCGCCAGTCCATCCATTATTATTTAAAGGGAACCAAAGTGCATCTGTTCCCCTAAATTTTCAAAGCCATAAACTTGAAAATAACTTGTAAAATAGTGCAATATATAGTACAGGTAATACCGTAAGACGGGTTAACTTTGGGACAGCGAGTAAATTGAGTTTGTGGTGATTCAGTGGTAGATACACCTGCTTTGTTAAACGTGCTTTGTGTAGGCATGTAATGCGCTATTTTCTTGCGGCACACTACTCTCGAAGCAGAAGCAAAAGTTTCATGAAAAAAAGAATTTTGAAAAAAAAATATTAATGGAAATAAATAAAACCTGACTGCACAACGAGTGTAGTGAACTAGGATTCTCAAACTGCCGTTGTAGGCAGTAGGACAAGACATGCCTACACAAAGCACATTTTTGCAGGCTGAACTAACTCAGTTTATCCACCACGGAATCACCAAAAACTAAATTTTATCCAGTGTCCCAAAGTCACTCCTTCTTACGGAAAATATAATAGGTTCACACCGCATCTGGCCTTTGTGGGTAATGTAGTAATTACGGGCAGAACAGCAAGTGCTTTTCTTGAAACATTTGTAGAAAGTGAAAGAGAAGCGGAAAAAATGGGCATGAAGATTAATGTCTCTAAAAGCAATTATATGACGATTTTGGAATATAGAAATGAAAATAAATACCTGTCAGGAATACGGTGCCGTTTTGATAGAATAGCAACGTTTAAATACCTGGGCAACTATCTCAGAAATTAATGGAATAGGAGAGGAAATCTGTGGGTCAGTAGGTAGGTTAGTTAGGAGGAAGGAGTCTGAAAGTTTGGGAATTGAGTGCAGATGTTTGTTTGACCTCGAGAATAAGTTGTTCTTGAACTCCTTTGTTGATGCTTGGTGTTTAAGTCTGCGCCCAAAATGAAATGATATCCTAAGGAATTGAGAAATGAACTAAGTTGTTTATTGGAGATGGATTGGTTAAGAGGGAAGTACGCTGATGCAACGGTAATAGGAAAGGAGACGGTTTTGATTATGATATCAGTGGATTGTAGGAAATCGTGAGTAGGCAATGGGAATAGGTGCAATGGGGTACACAATGACTGCAGTACCGTCATGTGCTCCACAGTTAGGATGGTCAGTACGGTATGTTAAGTACTGTAGTATTTTTAGGAGCTGTTGGTCAGTTGAGTTTCCGTTATTAGGGCTGCATCTATGTTTTGGTCTGGTAGTAAGGCTGTTAGTTCGTCTATGTGATTTCTAACACCATTCGCATTCCAAAGGAGAATGAATATGGGTTTGATGGGAGTCATTTGAGGATTGTTTAAAGGAGGGATGAGGTGGGCTACTAGGTTTGTAAGGAATGCTATCAGTGGGATAACAAGGGATTTAAATTCTGAAAGGAAGGATGTCAATAAACTGGTTACATCTGTGGCATTAGGCGATAGAAAAATATGTTGGATTTGATATTGGTGAGGTTATTGTGGATTAGGTACATTAGGTGATATAGGATATTGAGATTAAGGTTGGGTTTTGTTTCTGCTGCAGGTTCTCACATTCATTAGTTGGGTCTCTACTCCCAAGTTACTTGGCAAAAAAACCTTTGAGTTCACAGTTTTAGCGAGTCCTCTTCTAGGTTTAGACGTATCATCAGTGTCTCTGGGTTTCATATATCTCGCTTTAAGATTTTCATATATTTGGCAACCTTTATAGGTAATTACACTTGAGGATCATGAGAGAAACGCATAGAAAGTCATATTTTTTTTATTTTATTTCAGAATTGAATTATTGTGAGTTGGAATAGAAGAAAAGAAACACTACAATATTATCAGGCCAAACCTGATAAATATACCCCTGGTCGATCAATATTTTTTATTCTTAGAAATCTACGTCATATGACCCAAATCTTAATTTCTCAACACGTTCGTATATATATATATATATATATATATATATATATATATATATATATATATATATATATATATATATATATATAATATATATATATATATATATATATATATATATATATATATATATATATATATATATATATATCCGAGGAGGCCTTATATCAATAAGAAAGAATGCGTGACAGTTTTTAAAGCTAAGGCCGAGAAAAAAAATAATAGGAGATAATGATGCAGGAAAAAAATATTTGCAATCATAGTGACCACCTTGAACAAGCTTGAACTGGAAGGCATAAAGAAGAAAATCATAAATGATAATACCTATTGAAGGAAGTCTTTAATGGACAACTCGAAGTATTATAAATAAAAAAAAAATAAGAGAGACTCTTAAAGAGTTATTATGATGATGTAATTATTTTGATATTAATATTTACATTAACTTTTTGGAAAGTAATTCCGTATTATTCTACAATACAGGTGCAAATTAAGACAGTACAGGGTCCTAATGTGTAAAAATTTGGAGGGTCATACAAAAAAGAAAGTTTTAAGAAAACTCAAACAGTTAATGAGTGCAACTAGTGTTGTTCAAAATCGGTCTTGGTCTTGCATTTTGCATTATTGCATGATTTTTTAAATACAAATTAAGACAAAATAGTTACTAATACTTGACAATCTTAGTTAGTATATGTTAATAATTGGTATAACCAATATACTTTTGCATTTAACTGCTCTAATTTTTCATTAGGGCTTTGCTAGTTTCTCCTATCTAAAAAATTACAGTAATACCTCTATAGTAATAAGCTAATAAGTAATTGTAAGACTCTTGCGCAAGACCAAGACCATGACCAAGACTGATTTTGCAAGAACAATACTCATCTCGGTCTCGCATTCGGGCAACACTAAGTGCAACTAAGAAGCTGAAAATTTAACATTTTGTTTTAAATTAGATCGAATGTTGCATTCAGTTTTTTCTATAAATTTTCTGGGTTCTTCTTAAATCTGTAAGTTACGATATTTTAAGGTCTTGGAACCTGTTTTTAAAAGGTGCTCTAGCCTCATTGTCCGCTTACTTTTTAATCCATTTATGTTAAAAATTTGGAAAATCTATTACCTACATAATACATGTGACTAAACCTCATAATTAAGGTTGTGAAAAATTAAGGTTTGTATATTATTTCTACTGATATGCCTCAATTAAAATTATCGATCCTTCAATTTAGAAACTAGTAAATTGTACTTCTTCTTGCTTACTACTGTTGAAAATATTACAATTCATCAATCTGAGATTTAAGCATTGATCTTCTGATTTGTATCCAAAATATTATTTCATTTTTTTAGAAAATCATGAACCGGTGTTCACTATGGAAGATAAAAATATTCAATCCGGCTTCCCTGATGGAATGACGATTGATAAGGAAGGAAAACTTTGGGTTGCTTTGTTTGGAAAATCTGAGGTATTGTGTGAAGGAAGAATTTATTTTAAATCATTTACCTAATACTGATCACAATAGTTTATCTATTAGTTACTATTTAGTATTTAATTGGTTAGTTTTAGCAATAATATTTGTTACATTTTTCATTATTAAAGATATGCAAGTTGTTGAATTAATACAATGGCCTTAAAACTATAACCCGCGAGTGCATCTGATCCAGTCCATTAAATATTTTTTTAAAAAAATAATCGTTTGTTGAACCAAATTCTCTACCTAAATACTTTACGAAATTTTCTTATGAGAATAAAATCTCTGGAAGAAGCCGTTTTCGAAAATTGAATAATCTCTCAACATATACGGGCTTGATATCCATAAGTTTTGTTTATCAGCAAATACTAAAATGCGAAAAAGTTCCGCATTTGCAGATTGCGTATTTGATAATTCGTAATTGAAAAAAAAAAATCCAGTGCATACTGAATATGTATCTCGCTAGTATGCAAATGATATAAAAATTGAGTGTTTACAGGAGAGCAAAAAATAATTATTTCTTTATGATTTATTAGTATAATTTTATATTTGATTGCCCTCAACTATTTTTCGTAGTAGTAGACAAGCTATATCAATTGCAGACTACACAATGTCAAAATAGAATAAAAATTGAAAACTTTTACATAAGACCTTTGCACTAACAGTAGTGATATGTACTTAATATGTATGTTTTCACTCGTAGAATGGATGGAACAAAAAATCCATAGAAAAAATTCAACTTTTTGTTTGTTCGGAGTTAACGAGACCAATACTTTTCTTCAGTCAGAACAAAACTAATTTAAGCAGGCATATAAAACTGTGAGTCAAATTTTTGATATTTAAGGAGAGAATCAAGACCACGACGAGCTGATTGAACTTCATTGGAAATAAACACAATTAGAAATAAGACTTTTTATTTGTTTACAAATTCAGAGTAAAAATTACTTTAAATTTACTGAAAATTACACGAAATCTAAGTAACGGCAGTAAGATTCATGCCAGTAACGTTTGGAATCGACTAAACAATACAGTATCAATTAACTTTTTTAATAAAACCTAGAATTTTATAGCCCCATAACAGTACCCTACCACTGAGCTACCCCACTCCCTGTAATAACCTTACTTCCACTCCATATGATCAATGTCTTCAACATTTCGCAGCCATTATATTGTTAACAATTATTTATAGTAATTTTAATTATTAAATAGAATTCAATGAAATTGATACTAAGTAATTTCTATACTGTTCTTCAAATTTCCTCCAAGTTTGGGTCAAATCGAATTCGCCGGTATCAAACTATAGGCATATCAAATAAAACATTTCATAATATGATAGCGGAAGTATTTTTATTTGGTATATTAGATACAATTTGATATAATTGATGCCTATTTCATATTACATTTACCAATTCCTAAATTCACTCCAAATTTGAGCCAAATCGAATTTACGGTTTTAGAGATATAGACGTATCAAGGAAAACACATTTGGGCATATATTAGAGAAATCAATGGGTAGAATTCAATCAAATTGACCCCACATTATTTTTTCACAAATACCTACCTTTTATCCAACTTTGAACCAAATCGAACAAGCTGTTTCTGGAATATTGGCATATCTACAAAAATACATTTGCGCCTGCGCAAGCGGAGGTGCTGGTTAGAATTTAATAAAATTGATATGGGATCATCTAGGCACCAAACCCCATAATCCCTGAAAATTTCATGAAAATCTGATAAATGGTAGTAGGTGATATACATCGATTTGACTACAGACAGACAGACTGACACCGAACCAAATTTGATCCTTGATGTCTGAAACGTAAAACGCGAGTGGAAATTTTCGATTCTGAGCACAAAATTTTTTTTAACCTCTCCCACGAATACAATGCTTCTCTTGCTCTTCTCTACCTTCCATAGTGAGGAAGCAAAAAGGTTTAGCAACTGTTTCACCAGCAACTTCTTGAAAGTAAAATATCTATAAACATCTTTCATATTCTCCTCAAATAACTCTTTGTAGCTATATAAAAAAATATAAAAATAAAAAAATTTGAAAATATTCTACTCTTAATCCTGGAATAACTAAAAAATTAGCTTTGTATAGAAGGAATTAAAAAACAAATGTTGTATTCATGCTATAGGATAATGTAAGGATAAAGCAACGAGATGTAGGTATATGTATATATTGCATGTACCTACATTGTAATAATTTAAAAATAAAATAGAGGATAAGAAAAAAAAAAAAAAAAGCATTTCATATTCAATGTACTTTCACTTTAGGGTTTTGTGAGTACAATATATTTTTTTTATTGTGTAATCACACTGTATATAGTGTTGAATCAGTGTATAGGTGAAAAATTAACAGTGAAATTAAAATATGTGTTAAAAATGAATTTAAAAAGTCTTCAACTTCAAGTAACCAAATAATGGAGTGGTCTTTAACGATGTCAATTAAGACTTTAACTACTATTTTGAATGTAGAATTATTTCTTGAAATTTTGTTGGTCTCACCATTGGTACCAAGCAAAGGTGTTATACATTTTAAAGTGATTTTGTGTTCTAGGTGGCCTGTATTGATCCATCGAATGGAGAGATTTTGGAAAAAATTCCTATCCCTGCCTGCCATGTAACCTCTGTAGCTTGGGGAGGTCCCAACCTTGAAGATTTGTACGTGACTACTGGAAATTTGCGGCCTGAAGGAGCAAAATTGCCTGGAATGGCAGAAAGCAGTCCAGAGAATGATGGTTGCACATTTAAAATTACTGGTCTGTCAACTTCAGGATTGCCAATGAACCGCTTCAAGTTATAGATGGTTTAATTATTTTCAGGTAGAATCAACATTGAAGGAATTTATAGAATAGCTTGTAGATCGACAATAGAGTTTGTTGATAGATTATTGAAAATAAAAATTTAATAATAATTTTAATTATTGTAAAATAAATGTTTGAAAAGAATTGTGAAAATATTCATTTCCTTTTCATATAATATTACTTTTCAAAAAATAATTTATATATTTTTACATAGACATATTTACAGTCTAATTTTGACTGTGTTAAATAAATTAATAAATTAAACTCTTCTTTAATGTCTCTCATTTAATTTAAGAACAAGATCTAAATTTCGCTTTGGAGTTTGTATGCAGAATTTAAGTTTTTAATTCGGTACTCCTATTTTATGAAGTAAATTTTTGTTGAAAGCCTTTTATTCAATATATATACGTGGATAAAAACAGAATAGGATATAGAAAATAAAAATGAAGACATAGCTCTCTATTGTTAAAAATGAAGAGAAATGATAAAAAAAAAATATTTTGATGGACATAAATTAAAAATAGTTAACAATTTCATTAGTTTATATGTTTAGTTAACTGAGACTATTTTCAAAATTTATTTTGTTCTTTTTATGAGTGTCTTTTATTCTCGGTCAGTTGATTTGTAATATTAAAAGTTTAGAACATTAATAAATATACAAAAAAAAAACAAATACAAAAGTAAACCTTTTCTACTTATTGCTTGAATCTAATCTTTATAATTTTATTTGATTCTTGTTAACACCAATTATTGATTTATAAAAGTCTTGAGATAATTCAATAAATTTTAGTGTCTCTAGGAGAATAAATGAGTTTTAAACAATTTTTTTTTATTAACAATGTATTAACAATTATGAACAATAACAGTAAAAACACTATAGAAGACTAATCAGTCTGTATTTACATATACATTTAAATATCACATAAATTTAATGGAAACCATAAAATACTATGATAGGCATGGGTTGTTATTTGTCCATCTTTTGGATTCAGGAACATAATTTAAACACTCAATTATATTCTCATTGATTTATCAGAGTCTCAATTTTTTTTTATCTTGCTCACTGCCAAATAAAATTGAATGTTATCTATTTCTGATCTTGTCACCAAAGCGAACTGACTGAAAGCTTGCTGCCTCTCCGTCAGCTGTGTGTCCAACATGTGAGGTGTATCCTGTACCACTGTGGTTCATCTCTGTGTGGAATTGTCCCTTGACAACCGGAATGGTGTTAAGAACTTGCTTTTGTTCTCGAATAATTGGCTTCTTTGTTGTAGGTCTTTCTGTAACCTTTTTTACAATTTTATTTTTAAGTGCTTGAGTAAATGGTTTCTTATTTTCCATTTCATGGATTTCTGGCTTCTTCCAATCCTCTTCTTGACTTACTGGCTTTTGCCACACTTGTTTTGGTTCCTGCACAATATTATGAGACCAGGTTTGATGAACAGCCTCCTTTGGCCACAGGTTATGTTCTTGGAACTCTTCATTTGTCCACAAATAAGGAGTCTGGGTAACTATCTGCTTTGGCCACATTTGTTCTGGCATTACTTGTGTCGTCCAAAGCTGAGGGTCTTGCATAACATGCTGGTTTCCTAGTTGTGGGGCTGGCACCACTTGGATTTCAGGTTTGGATAGGTTGATTTCACCCTTATGCTCTGTTCCATAGTCCTCAATTTCGAAATGAGGACTCTCTGTGACCTGTGGGACTACTGGAACTTGTGACCAAGGGTTTTCCCTCAGGTGCCAGCTGATGTGTTCCTTCCTTTCTGGCCAGAGTGGCGAATCATTAAAGTGCCCTTCATCATTATATTCACTATAATCGGCATATCCTTTTTCAATAGGTCGGCTTGGCTTTTTTGACTTCTTACTTTTTCTTGATTTAGGTGTCCTACTTGATTTTTTCGGTCTTTTCTGACTGTAGGGCCTGCGTGAATATGGTTCATGGCTGTAGTAGAATGCATTGTTCCTATGCTGTCTTTTGGGTCTGTCCTCTTTCCAGCTTGTCCTCCCAGTAGTCCTTCCTTTTTTACTTCGTCCGCGATAATCATTCCATCTTTCACCTTTTTTCTGACTTTTCCATACTGTTGGTTCGTTGTGGCTTTCAGATTTATGAAACTCCTCTTCCTCTTCTTCTTCCTCCTCACCTTCATCTCCAAATCCCAATTCTTCGTCTTCTTCTTCAATATCATATTTCCATGAATCACTAAGCAGTCCCTTATGTGGAGAATGTTTACTATGCTTGTGGTGAGCTCTAAATAAGTTTTGCCATTCTTTTCCAATTGGTTCTTCTTCTTCTACTACATGAATACTATGGATTGGTTTTGGTTTATGTTTGTAAACATGAACCTTTTTTACATGGTGATGGTGAACATGATTTATCTTCTTAGGAACTTTAACTATTACCCTCTTACTGAAAACCAAAATCAAGATATTAATAAAATTCAAATTTATATTATATATTTGAAATCAGCAAATCCAAACTGAATTGTACTTTTATAAAAACATTTCTATTGTAAAAGTATCCTTTAATACATCTCACATTAGGAATGAAAGAGGCACAATTAAAATTTTCATTTGTCAGACATTTTAATTGTTGGACCATGAACATAAAGAAAACAACCACCTTTTACTCTATTGACCAATAAGTGGTCTAAAAACATTATGGTATGTCTAATGTTAGTCCGAAAAAAAAAGATATTTTTTTAGAGTTGTGCCCCTTGCATAATGAGGAGTGTATGTTATAAGGCCTGACGTTGGTATTAACTTAATCACAAACAATTTTGTTAGTGGTTAATTTAATAATTGTTTTAAAGTTAATGCAAAAAATAATTAAAAAAAGAAAGTAACTAAAGGATATTACTGTTTGACATCATCTGCAGATATTGTAACTGTGACAGCCAAGATAACTATTATCACTGCAAGTGGTTGAATCTGTAACATCAAAAATTGATGAAATATAACCATTTTCATCTCTAATCTAAACTAAATTCATGTCTAATCTAAACCATACTACTAATTTCGTAACTTACCTGTCTTTTTTTATGTTAAATACATAATCTTAAAATAGTCTGTGGGCAAGACCACCTTACCATGCTGCTCTCACATCCCTATAAATTGTAAATTGTTGTGTTCCTTGGAACAATTTATTTAAAAAAAGGCCAATGTTCCCACAAAAAAATATGAACGCACTACCCCAAAATGGCGTCCAAACATGGCGGATTGACGACTTTGACTTTAGTTAGCTTTTTTGTCACTGAGAATCAACATTTGGCTTAATTTCCTCATAGTTGGTCTTTTATTGAAGCTGGATAGTCAGAGAATAATGAAACATGAAAAAAATATTAATTTAATTTAACCATCCCTCGTATCTTTTTTTCCAGGTTCCTTTCGTTGAAGTATGTTATATAGATAAATTTAAAGTGTATCGAGAAAATGACTTTAGCGAAGTTTCATTGAAATCGGTACATTCGTTTAGGCACTACAGTCTGTAGGAACGCAGGTTTTTCTGCATTTTTATTTTTTTTCTCCTTTAGTAATTTATCAAATTCTTTCAAAAGTTATATGTAGCATTTTTTTGTAACTCTAAATAATGCGAAATGGTTAACTTTTTAAAATAAACCATATTAAAGGTACTTTAGAGGAAGATATATATGAACATTGGACATTTAAGCCCTGTAAAGTGACATCAACGGGGATAAGACCTAAATGATATAAAAGACCACTTAATTATAAAATGATACACCGAGTTTGATCAAAATCGTCAGAGTCGTTCTTGAGAAAATTGTAAAAATGTTTTTCAGCGTTCATATAAAATGGCACTTCCGGTTAGTCAATTTTAACGAAAAAGTTGCTGTCACATCCGGCCCATATACAAACCTTGAATACTTAATATCAGTTTCGTACTGCTTTTCGTTTATGAGCTAGACTGTTAACTCACACACACACACAAACCATTTTGCGGCACTTGGTTATTTGAACTCAAGGGACCTCAAAACATGTATTTCCGTTGAAAACTGAGATTCGAAAATTTTCACGATCGGAATACTTACCCTTACTGTATATTACATATATACGTAAGTGAAAGTAATACCCTTACTATATACTACATATATACGTAAGTGAAAGTAATAAGAAATTTTATTATTGATTGCATATTCTCTCTGCACAAAAAAGATGGAAAGGGCGAAGTTCTTCTTGGCAATCAGAACGAATTGTTAGTATTTAGTCTCAAAATGAGGGAAAACGCGATATTGAATTAAAAAGTTGAAATCTCGAGGAAAATACAAGGATCAGTATCTATTAAATGGTAAAACGAATATATAGTAGATAGATAAACAGAATATTTCATGATGCTGCCAAAAGGGGGTGAAATGCTGGAGAAGTTTGGATGATATTAAGGGGACGGTACAGGTTTATTATGGTGAAGACCAATTTATCAGCAAGAAAGATTTGTTCAAAGCAATTGCCAAATCAGCAAGTCTGGAAGAAGTTACCTGAAATGCGCACATAGGCAACAAATGTAAAGATATATTTCTCCACTTTTTCTACGTATATTGAATAATATGCCATTAGAAAACAATTTGATAGGACTGTAGTTTTGTGCCTTCATAAGAAAGGAGATACTAGGAAATTTAATACCCATCGAGATTCTTTTCTGTTTATTGCACTAAAGAAACTCTACTTAAGAATCGTATAAGCTAGAATAAGAAGTATTGTCGATTGCCAGAGCGATATGGATTGAGAAACTCAAGTTGCATATTATGACTATCTTCACTTTAAGGCAGGTTATAGAGAAGTCCATCAAGAAAGAAAAATAGCTCTATATTTGCTTAGTGCCTCATAATTTGGACTGCGCCAATCTGTTTTTTTTTTCTGTTTCTGTTCTTCCCTACCTCGCCCTTTAGGCTATACGGGATTTTCTCGGGATGGAAGGTGAGGGCGGGGAATAGAAAATACCCTTTGGCACTAGGAAGCGAACTCGTACTTTTCTTCAATCTCAAATCTTGGTTATCTGGTCAAGCCCATTTGGCCACCCCTCCCCCTCTCTGCTAATT